TCATTGAGAAAAAAAGAGAGCCCATATAAGTAAAATCATAAATGAAGAGAAGTTACAACTAACACCACAGAAATACAAACAATCATTAAAGAATACAATGAACAATTACATGCCAACAAATTTGACAATCTACAAGAAATGGATAAATTTTTACAAAGATATAACTTACTAAGACTAAACCAGGAAGAAACACAAAATCTAAACAGATCAGTTACTTGCAATGAAATTGAAGCAGGCATCAAAAAATTCCCAAGAAATAAAAGCCCAGAACCAGATGGCTTCCCAGGTGAATTCTGTCAAACATTCACAAAGAATTAATACAAAAATTATCAACAAAATATCAGCAAACCAGAGTTAACAATACATTCAAAGGAGTATATACTATGACCAAGTGGGACTCATCTCAGGAATACAAGGATGAATATGATACTTCATATTAATAAAATAAAGGATAAAAACCATATGACCATCTCAATAGACAGAAAGAGCATCTGACAAAATTCAGCATCCTCTTGTGATAAAAACTCTCAACAAAGTGGATATAAAAAAACATATCTCAACATAATAAAGGCCATGTATGAAAAACCCAGTTAACATCATACTCAATGATGAAAACCGAAAAGTCTTCTCTCTAAGATCAGGAACAAGACAAGGATGCCTACTCTCACTACTTTCATTCAGCGTAGTACTGGAAGTCCTAGCAATAGCTATAGGACAAGACAAAGAAATAAAAGGCCTCCAAATCATAAAGGAAGAAATAAAACTCTCATTATTTGCAGATGACATGATATTATATATCTATTAGAACTAATAAATTACTTTGGTAAAGTTGCAGGATACAGAGTCAAAACACAGAAATGTTTTGTGTTTCTATATACCAATAATGAATGATCAGAAAAGAAAATTTTTAAAAATACCATTTATGATTACATTAAAAAGTATAAAATACCTGGAAATAAATTTAACCAAAGAGATGAAAGACCTGTACTCTGAAAACTAAAAAACATTAAAGAAAGTAATTAAACAAGATAAAAAAAAAAAATGGAAGTGTAGCCCGACTGGTGTGGCTCAGTGGCTGAGTGTCGATCCATGCACCAGGAGGTCACCAGCTTGATTCCCAGTTAGGGCACGTGCCCAGGTCATGGGCCCAATCCCCAGTGGGGGGCATGCAGGAGGCAGCCAACTGATGTTCCCTCTCATCAATGTTTTTATCTCTTGCTCTTTCTCCCTTCCTCTCTCTCTAAAAGTCAATAAAGAAAAAAAAAATTTTACTGCCTAAATTAATATACAGATTCAATGCAATCCTCATTAAAAGACCAATAGCATTCTTCTCAGAATTGGAATAATTAAGTTTAAAATTTATAGAACCATGAAAGAACAAAGTGGGAGGTTACAGCACTCCTTGATACCAAACTATTCTACAAAGCTACAATAATCAAAATAGTATGGTACTGGCATAAAAGCAAATATATAGGTCAGTGGGATAGAACAGAGAGCCTAGAAATAAATCCTCACTTATATGGTCTATTAATATATGACAACGGAGGCAAGGATATATGCAATGGGGTAAAGACAGTTTCTTCCATAAATGGTGCTGGCAAAACTGGATAGATACATGCCAAAAACACAACACTGGACCACTTTCTTATACCATATACAAAAATAAACCCAAAATTAATTAAACAATTAAATTTTAGACCTGAAACCATAAAACTTTTAGAAGAAAACATAGGAAGTGAACTCTTGGGCACCACAATATCTTTTCTGATCTATCTCCTCAAGCAAGAAAAACAAAAGAAAAATAAACAAATGAGACCACAACAAACTAAACAGTTTTTGCACAGCAAAAGAAACCATCAACACACCAAAAAGAAAACTTATTGAATGTGAGAAGATATTTACAAATGATACATCCAATAAGGGGTTAATATCCAAAATATATGAGACTTATACAACTTAACATAAAAGATGTCCAATTTAAAAATGAGCAGAGGACCTGAATACACATTTCTCCCAAGAGGACATACAGATGACCAACAGAGATATGAAACAATGCTCAACATCAATCATCACCAGAGAAATGCAAATTAAAACCACAATGAGATATCACCTCACGCCTTACAGAAAGGCTATCATCAATAAACCAACAAATAACAAGTACTGGTGAGGATGTAGAGAGAAGGGAACCCTTGTGCACTGCTGATGGGAATTTAAATTAGTGCAGTCACTATGGAAAACAGTACAAAGATTCCTCAAAAAATTAAAAATAAAGCTGCTATACAATCCAGCAATCTCACTTCTGAGTATTTATCCAAAGAAAACAAAAACACTAATTCGAAAAGATATATGTACCCCTATGTTCACTGCAACATTGCTAGTAATGGCCAAGATATGAAAGCACCTAGATGTCCAACAGTAGATGAACGGATAAAGAAGACATGGTATATGCAATGGACTATTATTCAGCAGTGAAAAAGAGGGAAATCTTGCCATCTGTAACAACATGAATGAACCTAGAGACTATTATGCTAAATGCAATAAGTCAGAGAAAGACAAATATCATATGATCTCACTTATATGTGGAATCTAAAATCATAATAATAATAATAAGCAAAGAAAACAAAACAGAAGCAGACTCAGAAATACAGAGAGCAAGCTGATGGTTGCCAAAGGGGAGGGGGTGTGGAAATGGGAATGTAAAAAATAAATTTTTAAAAAACATCATGTAAGGGCTATTTGGTATAAAACGGAACCAAAATCCAGGAGGTGCATTTTATTACTGATTTCAATAAGTGGATGTATTCCACTGGACCCACATAAGGTGCCCCCCAGGAGGTCAGATGATCACCACCCACTTCCTGTGGGACACATGTGCCCCTCTGGGGTGATAAGAAGGGCTGTGTGCCATGAGTCATTCTAGAGGATGCTACAGTTCCTCCCACCAAAGATCCAGGCAAATGGTAGGAGAGGGTCAGCTGGGACCAGAACCCCTGACCCCAGCATCCCAGGTTCTGAGCCCCTCCTGTATCCTGGGTTCCTTCTGGCCTCCCCACCCACCCCCCAGGGGCAATGGGATAAACTCAGACTCCTGCACTAAGTGGCCAGCTTCACTGAACACCAAGAACATGGTGTTGGGTGTTGACCCCTCCTCTCTAACCCTAAATGGTACCTGGAGGGCCAAGATTACACACATCGTGTTCATTTTGAATCTCCTGTACCCGAACAGACACATGCTCTGTGTTTCCCGAAGCCACTGACTGCTGCCACTTCCACCCGTGAATTTGCATTTGGGTTTATAAAGCAGCAGGATGACATCATCGATGTCATTCATTCAGCATTTATTGAGCACCTTCTATGTGCCACACACTGTCCTAGGTGCTGAGAATACAGCGGGGAATAAAACAAACACCCCTGGCCTCAAAGAGCTGACATCCGAACAGGAAGAGACAGAAAAGAATAATAAAAATAATAAGCCCATTATCTAGCAGGAAAAGGATTAAGCAGAATGGGACCAACGGGAGGGGATAAGGAGGATGGCGTAGCTTTAAATGGGGGTGGGGAGGGGGTGTCCAGAAAGGTCTCCTTGAGAAAGTGAATGTGAGCAGCCGCTTTAAGGAGGTGAAGCAGAGAGGCCTGAGGACCACTGGGGGCACCTGATCGTCTTCGTCCTCTCCTTCACGCAGTAATGGATCAGCTGCGACCATAACTTCATTCCTTTGGTCAACAGTTCATTAGGCAAAAGGGAATGAGGCATAGTTTTGTGATTCTAATCATTTTTTTAAAAGCTTCACTTACTCTCTCCAAGGTCTGGCAATACATGAGTACTCATAAGAATATGTTGAATCAATGAACTCACCCATAACCAGTAACTCATTTAATGTATGAGAACCAAAGACACCCCCATAACTTCCCTACAAGTACTAAACTTGATACAAGCGCCATAGACACAGTACGTCGGAGGCTTTTCTAAGACACAAAAGCATCGCACGTCATTTTTGCTTTCTCCCTTCCAGCCTTTGTCTGCAGCCATAACTTACCTTAGATGTGAGTCAGTGTTTTGTGATCCTAACCATAAGATTCTGAGTTTTTTTTTGTTGTTGTTGTTTTCTGCTTCTCATGTTGTAGATATTTTTCCCTGGCAGTTCAGTCTTTTCAACAATCATTATTGATATGGGATGCAGAGCCCGTTATTCCCACAGCTGCCAGCTGAAAACGAGGCTGCTTCCAATGTCCTTGAATTACAGTGTCCCAGGTAACAAGTGGGCTCCATAGCTCAGTGGTTAGAGCACTGGTCTTGTAAACCAGGGGTCGCGAGTTCGATCCTCGCTGGGGCCTCTGTCGGCTTTTTTTTTTTTTTTTTTTTTCCCTCCTCCCGATTATCCTTCGTAAATAGGAGCAGAGATTCCAACATGTTAGCCGTCTCTGCAAACGTTATCTGGCGAGACGGAAAGTTCCTCCTCCCGAAATGCAAAGGAGGGGCATCCTCCCTGTGCTTTAGATGTGCCGCGGGCGGAGGAGGGAATCCTGGGCCGCAACAAAGAGCAGGGAAAAGAAACCGAAACGCCATCCTCGGCGCCCCCGGCGCCCCGCCACCTGCGGGCCGGGCCCTGGGAACGGGGGCGCGAGGCTCCGCCGGCCCGTCCGCAGCGCCCTGGACCGGCCGCCGAGAGCCGCGCGCGGGCCGGCACCGGGAACCCCAGCGCGGGCGGGCGCCCAGGACTCGCTGCGCCTGCAGTGCGGCCGCGCGGCCGGCAGGTGGCGCTGCGGCCCAGGCCCCCTCGCTCCCCCGACCCCCTCGCTCCCCCGCGGCGGGCGAGTGCGTGGCCAGCGTGGCCCGGAAGGAAGCCGGCGCTGTGGCCGCCACGTGGCAGTGCGGGCCTCGGGACCCAGCCTGGATCCCAGGTCCTGCCCGGCTCCCGGGGGAGGGGGAGTCCGCACACGGGCAGCCCGGCCGCGGGGAAGCCGGCGTCTCAGCCATTGACGTTGTGTCCCCCCGAGTTCTACAGCCGCGAGCGCCTTCTGAGCGCGGGAATGTCCCCACCCGCGATGTCGTGCCCGCGTCCCGGGGCTGGGGCAGGATACGGGACTGTCTGTAACAGCGACTGGCCGCGTGGGGCCAGCCCGGACTGAGACCGAGTACACACCGGACCCAGAAAACCCAGCCCCAGAGAGAACGTCAGCTACCCCATGGGTAATTCTTAAATGTGATCCTCTGTTGGAATATTAATGTGGTGGATACAGTGTATTAAATGAAATGCATAATTACATTAGTTTTACCTATTTTTTTAATGTGGCTACTGGAAAATTTTAAATTACATGTGTGGCTCCCATTGGCAGCTCTCGTGTTTCTGTTGGGTGGGGCAGGTTTAGGGAGCCCGAGCCCCGTGACCTTTGAGTTCAAGTTCATTTTGAACCTGGTACACTGGTAGGCAGAGGCCTCTGGCGCCCAAAGCCAGTACTGTGCCTGGTGCACCATAAGCGTGGCATTGGTTGAAGTGAAAGTATCTCCTCAACATGATTTTAAACTCCACAAAGAGAAGGAGAACGTATTTCTTAAATTGAGTTAGTTTTGGGAGTGATGCAATGTCTGTCTCGGCTTGCAAGATTTTTAGCTCTGAGAAACACTCATACTTGGTTATTTTGCCTTTCTGTGGTCAGGGCATCTGCTGTGATGGTGAAGTGTTCCCACTGAGGCGAGAAAGAAATCCATAATCGTCACATGCGGTCAGCACTTCCCTGACATTGAATGTCTGTTTGCAAAGCCATTTCAGATCCTTGAATATCCTAGTACCAAGACTACTCTGAACCTGCAGAGGAGGTGACCATTTTAGAGAGGCTGTCCTGGTAACCCGTCACAGGCCCCCTCTCAGACCTGAGATGTGGCGAGAGTGAAATATGGTTCTTAGGCTAACGCCAAACATTGGGAAGATGGAGAGAGATGTGTCAATTTGAGCACGTGTCGATTTATTTCCTTAGGTCATAGGCGTTTACAAAACAAAATAGGACGTGTAGTGCCATTCCAAGCAGGTTTGCAGACTAGGGCCCATGACAGCAGGTGGCAAGGTGGGATTTGGTCTCCCCCAGAAGCAGACAGTAAGCACTGTTCAGATAGCAAGATTCTCTGGGAAGGCAATCACACCCTCCACAACCCCCACCGACCCCGCCCACCCCCGCCGTCCCCACCCCTGCTCCCATGTGTCTGAAGTCCCAGTTTAGCAGCAGCAGGTTCTGCGTGGGGAAGTGGTCCTCCCCTCTCTGGTCCCTTGGTCGAGCACCTTGACGGTAAAGGCGAAGGGTCGCTCCTTCCAGCTGGCCCCCACTGTGCTGACTGGTTCACCCCAGCACTGCGGGCCTTCCGGCTCCTCGTCCCCTTCCCCTGGGGGCCTGCGGACCGCACTTGGGCTCCCTTCTCTGTATCAGGTCCTCGAACGCGCTTCCTGCTTCTGGTGGGAGAAGCCAGTTTCTCGGAGGACCCTTTCTGAGATGAGGCCAGGCCTGGACGGGAAGCTGAAGTGACATTGGATAACTTCCCAGCAGCCTTCTCGATTTGCTCCTTTAGCAAGTCCAAGACCGTCTCTGGGAAACAAGCATTTATTTAGTGAGAAAGTTAAGTCCTGCAAAAGTAGCTCTAAGAAGAGCACTACCCAGGAGGCATATGCCTGCCTGGGGGTTCTTTAATATACATTCTTTTGAAATTAATATTTTTAAGTTCCTTCACTGGCCTTGATCTAAATATATTCTTTAATAGGGTCACTCCAATGACACATGGCTCTGGAATAGTCCCCTTAAAATAGTGTCCCTCCAAGTCTTTCCTGATTCCCCACGCTGCCCCAAGGAAGCGGTCCTCTCCCTAGGGGCCCTCGGTGCTGTGTTTATTTCTTTATTTGCCTGCACTACCCCCCCCCCCTTCCTTTCCACTCTGAACTCCTAGGGGTCAGGTTTACTGCTCTACCCCCAGGGATTAGCACAGTGCCTGCCACAAAGGAGTGCTAAATGAATGAAGCCAAATGAATGAATGAATTCATGAGCGAGTGAGTGAGTGAGTAAATGAATGAATGGAGGATAACAAGCCACAGGAGAAGGTGTTAACCCCACTCCCTCTGGGATGCAGAGATGATGCATAAAGGAGCCACAAGTTGCAACCCTCAATCATAGGGCCAGCCACAGGTAAGAAAGTAAGACCTCCCACCCAGCGGGATTGCTGTGTCTGAGACAAGGCCTAAGTCAAAGACAAGGACAGACTCACTGGCGAGTGGCCTGAACTGGACCCGCTTACTCGTGGTTTTCACCGGCACTGGCTTGTATTTGCACTTGCCTGGGGGTGCTCGCCTGAAAACAGAAAGAAAAAATAAGGACACAGGACTCTGAAGATGGGACTAGAAAATCAAGCTCACTGGAAGGTACACATTCGCAAGAACTGGGTTCAGCGCTCTCTTGTCTATGGGGATGGGATAGAAGTAGTCGGAAATAGGTGATAAACTCAGAGAGGAGGAAGGTCGTGGGCATCCCAAGGACACCACAGACCCTTGGAAGGCAGCATCGTGAGACGGTTAGGGGTGCAGGATGGCGACAGAGAGAACTGGTTCAAACCGTGGGGACCACAGGCAAGTAAACCTTGCTAAGTCTAAATTCCCACATCTATAAAAAGGTAATAGTACCTATCCTTGCAGGAGGGTGGTGAGGATTAAATGAGCTGTGTACTTGGCACACCATGAGTGATTGATAAGTCATTTTTTTAATTTTTTAAAATGAGAATTTAAAAAGGAAAACACTTGGAACAGTGCCAAGCACATAACAAGTGCTCCATAGATGATGGTGATGATGATGATGATGGTGATGATGATGGAGATGGTGATGGTGGTGATGGTGATGATGATGATGGTGGTAGTAGTGGTGATGGTGATGGTAGTGATGACGGTGATGATGATGATGGTGATGATGGTAGTGATGATGATGACAGTGGTGATAGTGATGATGGTGGTGATAGTGACGGGGGTGATGATAGCGATGATAATGGTGGTGGTGGTGACGGTGATGATGGTGATGATGGTGGTGGTAATGGTTCCCTTTAAAGAAAATACCTTCGCCCTGGCCGGTTTGGCTCAGCGGTTAGAGCGTCGGCCTGCGGTCCAGAGAGACCCGGGTTCGGTTCCCACTAAGGGCATGTACCTCAGTTGCAGTTTGTCCCCTTCAAGAACTTGTGGCACAGTCCCTTAAATAATGCCAGCTCTCTGCCTACTAGGATACTCATTTTTGAACTGCTGTCCCCTGGGTGCATCTCCTGAAACGAAAGGAACCCGGAGACCAGCAGCAGGCCCGCTAGTCAGAGCACAGCTGGGACTTGCCCGCCAGTCCCCATGCTGCCTCCTCTGCCTCGCTCCATCTCACCTCTTATCTGACCTCTTGCTGTCATCCCCATCCCCGGTGAGAAAAGGAAGTCACTTTAATTACAACAAATACTTATTTAGTGCTTAGGCACTGGACTAATGCTTTATAAACATAACTCACTGAATCCTCACAGTAATCTTATAAGGTAGGAGGTGCTATTATCCTCTTGTGCAGAGGAGAAACAGAGGCACACAGCTAGTCGGTGGCAAAGCCAAGATTCACACCCAGGCTCTGGCTCTATGATTCTAAAAGAAGTACGGGAGGCAAAGACGGAAGGAGGGGGAAATGGACACATGAATTCATCAACTGCCCTCAGAATGCTGGGATGGGGCCTTCAGGCAGAGACAGGCTGAATGAGTAAGCAGAACAGAATCGGCATCCATGCTGCAGAAGCTATTAAAAAGACTACAATTCCACGTAATTATAACCAAAGTGAATGGGTAGTGTGGAAATGACTGATCCACAAAGAAAACCGAGTTCCTGTCCTCGGCCCCCGCTCACTAGCTGTACCTCAGGCAAGCGATTTAATTGAACTAGGCTCAGTCGCTGTAGATCAAGGGTGTTAGCTTGGCTCACTGGGATTCTGTCTGCATTAATTGAGTGCCTGGGACGCAGTAACAACTCAACGAACGTCAACCTGAGAGAAAGGTGGATGAGTAAGGGTGTCATCGGTGTGGAGCAGTTGCTTCGCGATGGACCTCTCATCATGGCTGCTCTTGCAATAGAGGGGAGCTAAATTACCCCCCAACCAAGTCAGGAAACTCACAAAGGAAAGGAAAAAGGGATTCACACAAGAAACTTATTACTAGAAAGAGTAGAACTTCCCACCAGGCATGATCAGCAGCCAGAAGCACTTCACAGACCTTGGTTTGGCCCAGCCGATGTGGCTCAGCGGACCCATGCACCAAGAGGTCACCAGTTCGATTCCTGGTCAGGACACGTGCCCAGGTTGTGGGCCAATTCCCAGCGGGGGGCATGCAGGGATGCCAATTGATGTTCTTTCTCATCAATGTTTCAATCTCTCTCTCCCTCTCTCTTCCACTAAAAATCAAAAAGAAAAACAATTTGTTTAAAGACCCGTCCCCTGAGCACAGGAACCAGGCACGCGGCGGATTCGTTGTGGACAAGCCCAGCACCGAATTCACCCCCGGCCACCTCGCTATCAGGAGGGCCCAGGCACAGCCTCGGGGACGGAGCCTCTTCCAGGAACTCCTGAGGACGTCACAGCTGGGGGCCCCGCTGCCAGACAGCGATGAGCTGGTCCTGGCTCCGGGTCCATTTGCCAGGTGTCTTCTGCAGCCACCCCTGACGTGGGTCATGTAAGCCTCATAGGGAGGTTTTTCTCTGCGGGTCTGTCTCCAAGCTGATTCATGGGGAGACTTTCTGGCTTCGGCCAAGAATCCCGGGGTAAATCCAGTGCCTGCCAGGTACAGACAACACACTCAACAACCCCACAAATGGGAAGCTGTTTTACAGCCTTTGCCTGGTCTGTTGGAGGTTGGTGGGTTAGCCTCTGAGAGAGGTGGGCAAAGAAGCAGAAGAAGCAACATCCCGTCCACCAAGTGAGGAAATACTGCCAGGGAATTCCAGCAAGGGGCAGGGCCAGGCACTAGGAAACCTGAGAGTTGAAAATATTCACCAAAGACCTTGGCCACCTTGACCAAACCCAGGGGGATAGGGCAGCAGTCCATACTCAGGTAAATACCCATTGTCAGATGATCCCAGGCAGACATTTCTAGAAGCAGATTACAACAAAAACGAAACAGGAGCCACAGGTCTAGACTAGTCATCCTGCAAAGGCTCATGCTTCTCACTCCCAGCCGCAGAGAGACCCACACAGTCCAGGATTCCGAGAACCGCTGCCTTACTTCGCGTGGCCAAGCTGTTCCATCTGGAGCATAGACTGCTTCCGCAGTGATTCTGGTAATTCCTGGGGAGTGAAGACTCCTTTTATGACCTGCCACGGAGATAAGGACCGATGGAAATGTGCCTGAGAAGAAAATAGGACCAAATCTCACCTTGACGGGTCGACAAATTTGTAAATAGATCCGTGTGGTGCGTAGGCACTTGGGTAGGAGGTGGCCAGGAAGTAGAGCTCCCCTGGGAAGACAGGACAGGCGTCAGTCGCAGGGCAGGAGGCGGGGCCGAGTCACAGAGCTGGGCACACAGAACCCCTCAGCGTGGGTGACGGTCCTGCCGTGAGGGGAGCCCCAGGGAGGGATGCAGGAATCCTAACTGACAGCCCCCAAAGACTCGCTCAGTGTGTCCTAGCAGAGCTACGTTTCTGTTCACGTTCATGGAGCCAAACGAGCTTCTTCCTTTATCATCTCTGCTCTCGGAACTCTACCTCAGTGCATCTCCACTTCCTTCCCCACCTCTTCCCAGTTGATCAGGATTCTCGGTGAAACCCTGAAGTAGGGGATCCCAGGCTGAGGGCCAGTCACTGTCACTGTATGTCCCCTCTGCTTTAGGCCATGAGTTCCCCCCAGACCCTGCCTCACGCTTCCCCCGATTTCCACCTTCTCCAGTCTTGGGTTTCTGCTGTCCTGTGCCCCGCCCTGTCCCCAGCCTCCTCTCGGTCTCCGCCACACTCACAGAAATCACCTCCATCCATCATCCCCTTGTCTCCTCTAGAAGAAGCCCTTACACCTCCCACTGCCTCCGGCTTGAACTCCTGACAGTGTGCCCCAGAGAGAGACGACCAGGGCCACCTCGTCCTGCAGTGACCTGTAGGGACAATGCAGCGGAGGGTTTCGGAGCCTGACTTCACAGGCAGAGGAGCCCGGGTGTGAGTTCCGGTAACACCAGGACAGCTGCGTTGTCCTGGGCAACCTCTCAACCTCTGTCACCCTCGCCTAACTTATTCCCTTGTCAAACAGGGATAACAGCACCCCTGGTTGGCAGGAGTTACTTAGAAAGAGTTCAGGGGTCGGCGGTTACTCTCACTTCCCCACGGCCCTGCTCCTCCCGGCTGTGCTGGGACAAACGTGTCGTGGGCCTGGCCCAGCGTGTCATCCACTGACTGTAGCGGGCACCCTTGTGTGCCTCACACAGCCTCCTCTCCACCAAGTGGGAACTGGGGAAGCCGAGAGCTCTAGGCAGCTCTGGGTTATCAGAAGTCCTCTTTCAAAGACCCCTTATCCTTCGGGACAGCATGGAGAGCCCTCGAGAGCACTGTGCTCAGCGAAATAAGCCAATCGGAGAAAGACAAGTACCACATGATCTCAGTTATTTGAGAATATAATGAACAAGGTGGGCCTCTGAATGAAATAGACCCAGAGACACAGAAAGGAGTAGGGTTCAGACTGACAAACCTCAGAGTAGGGGTGCGGGGGGGATGGTTGAGATGAACCAAAGAACTTATATGCATGTATGCATAACCAGTGGACATAGACAACAGTGCTGGGGGGTGGGGGAGCAGGATGAGGAGGAGGGTGTTTAGGGGGGGAAAGGAGAAACATCTGTAACAAAAATAATAAAAATTGGGAGGAAAAGTCTTCTTTCCTTGAACTGGTGGCGAACAGTGGCCCACGTTAGTCCTGTGCTGAGGGAGGGCGTCCGGCCTTTGCAGAGTCCCACGCACAGTAGCAGCTGCCTGGGAAACTGGTTTTGTGTCCCAACAGTCTGTCACCTTCCCTGGGAAGGGGTCCGTGGAGTCAGGACACACCGTGCCCTAGGGCCAGTTTGCCCGCTGACTGGAAACCCGAGCACCCTTCCAGGTGATTCTACAGTTAGATAAACAAGGTGTCCACCAGGCATCTCATGTACACAGGTCACCCTCATGCTGGGGCCCCTCCAACCACCCAAAGAATTCCTGGTCTACAAGGAGAACTGAAAACCCTGCTTTACTGCAAATACTTACATGTGACTACGGTTCATGAAAATTATCTGTCCCAAACATGCCATTGTGTTTTCAGGAGAAAACAAAGATAGAAGTGAATTTCATCGGTAATATCCAACCAACATTTTTAAAAATATATTTTAGGGCAAAACAAAAAACAAGCCCGAAAAGCTAGAGAGTATGCCACGTGAAACAAAATGCATGCAACGGGAATTCACCGCGAGCGTTGTTACTTCGACCAGCCCTCGCGGGAATGGGCTTCAGTTACTGACACTCAGAGATGCTGCCCACGGGGACCCAGCAGCGGGCAGTCCCATGCCTGCCACACCCTCTGAGGCTGTTCATTCCACAGTTAGAGCATCAGCCTGTGGGCCAGAGAGACCCGGGTTCAGTTCCCGCTAAGGGCACGTACCTCAGTCGCAGTTTGTCCCCGGCCCTGGCTGGGGTCATGTGGGTGGTGACCAGTTGATGTGTCTCTCTCACATCAATGTTTCTCTCTCTCTTCCCCCCTCTCTCCCTCCTGCTCTATCTGAAGATAAATGCAAAACTGTCCTTGGGTGAGGATAAAAAATAAAAATAAAAATGACTGAACCTAAAGCTGATGACTGGTGATAAAATAATACTCAGATCTAAGTATGTCTATAAGTGGGGCAGCCTATGGCAGGAGCAGAGACCCTGAACCACTCCGTGTGCACACACTGGGAGAGCATCATCTGCTTCAGGACCAGCCACCCCGCCGCAGGGTGGCCCGTGGGCCAAGTCCCGCTTGGGAATAGCCTGGCACGTCCACGCCACAGATTCTGCCAAGGACACCGCATTTTGGCTGCCAACTGCACTGACCGGTGTTCAAACTGCCTGTTTTCTCCCGCGAGCGGTCTGCAGGCACAAACCAAACTGCCAAAGCCGGGGTTCCTGCGGCCTCCTGGGAAGGAGTGAGTCATGGAAGACAGAAGTCCAGGGTCCCTGGGTGGGGCGCTGGCCTCCAGGGGGCGCCGGCCTCCAGGAAGGACTGCAGCAGAGGAGAGGACCCCCCAGGCTGTGACTTCATGTCACCCACTTCCCTCTGAACATCAGCCTGCCAGCCTGTGGCTTCTCTCCGTTTTTATATGTTTGGACTTCCAATTTGGAACTCATGTAGGCTTTTCCAATATGCCCTGCTCTCCCAAAATACCCACCTCCAACTATCTATTCATAGGCGAGCCGAGAGGGCCGGGAGCTGGCTGGACTTCTCTCGTCCCACTCAGCGGGGGCCTGCCAGCCGCCCACGGCTCGCGGTGCGAGAGCCCGTGCTCAGGACATCGCAGGGCCTGCTTGGCCCTTGCAGAGACTCCTAGGTCTGGAAGAGACCCCAGAGAGCATTTCATTCTCCTCCTCCCCTCTCAGCATGGCCAGATCCGGCGCCAAGTAAAGTGTTATTGTGCAAAAATGTAACTTCTAGAAAGCTGAAATTTAAAATAAACATTTTCTGGTTACAAAATTTGGGGAACTCATTAGACAGGAATCTCTCTCTTTCTCTCTCTCTCTCGTATATATGCACACATGCCTTGCTTTGCTCATGCCTTTAATTTACGCCTAATTAGTCTAGTGAGTCGCCTCCTACCTAGCTGTCTACCCTTTTCTCTGATCTCTCAGGAAACAAACTGTCCCTTGATCACTCTCAGCAGCTGTCCCACAAACTCTTGCAGGGTCAGGAAAGAGTCCAGCCCGGCCAGTGGCGGATCATCAGAGGGTCTCTGTCCCAGGCGACACCCACAGGACAACCCTCCCCCACCCCCCCACCCCCCGGTCCATTGGTCTGCTCACTGCTGGCATTGTCCACGTGCCTGTCACTGCGGATCCGAACAAAACCGGGGAGGAAGGATCACAAGCAACTCCCTTGGCGAGACCGAAGTGTAGACCTTGACTTGGTCTGTGCAGTGAGCACAGCTCACCCAAGAAGGGGCAGGTTGGCACAGTCAACGTTTCCTCATTAGTGAAGTGAGCATAATACTTACATCGGGCATGGTGATGACTAAATCACATAAAAAATGTAAAGGCATAGAACAGCCTCCGGTGCATTATAAAAGGTGACTAAATGACGGTGAACATAGGGGAAGTGACCACTGCTATTTAACTTTAAAACAACGATAGTGCCCTGGCCGGTTTGGCTCAGCGGTTAGAGCATCGGCCTGCGGTCCGGAGAGACCCGGGTTCGGTTCCCGCTAAGGGCACGTACTTCGGTTGCAGTTTGTCCCCGGCCCTGGTTGGTCGCGCGGTGGCAGCCACTCGATGTGTCCCTTTCACATCGATGTTTCTCTCTCTCCCTCCCACTCTATCTGTACAAAAAATGGAAAAATGTCCTCGGGTGAGGATAAAAAAAAACAATGATAGTAATAATCATGATCGTTGATAAACGTTCAGGTCACATGCCTGTGACTGTCTCAGTCCCGAGAAGCAGAAATAAGACGGGCCTGTGCACTTATTACCTGCTTCGTCTTCGGCGAAGGAGATGATGAACTTGCTATAGGAGCTGATCAGCCCTGGAAAGGCACAAGGCTCAGTGTTTCCCAGGCAAATATCCTGTTTCTTCCATTTCTTGGTTTTTCCATCTTCCTGCAAAGCCATAAGTCGACTAGATGGAAGATAAAACCTTATATTTTAGAAATCCATATTTTCCACCCTGCAGGATAATTTTCACCCCGGAATCAGAGGACCCTTAAGTACCAAGACAGGGGTGTCCCACAGGAGATCAGTCACTAGCTTCTCCCAAAGATCCAAAAGCTGCCTCACAGGTACTTCAGTCACCTACTTGCCCTAGATGGGAAGTTCGTTTTCTAGCATAAAAGAGTTTGGTGCCCTGTGAACAGGGCACTGCTACCAAAGACTAGCTTAATTTCTATTAGTTGTGTGATGTTTGGCTAGTTGCTCAACATTTCTAAGCCTTAGTTTTCTCATCTGTAAAATGGGGAATGAAAACAGAATTTGCCACAGGTGAGAGCCGAGAAGATTAAATTAGATAATATACATAAATATATATGTAAGAGATGGGAGACTGTATGTCAAATATACAAATGACATATAGTGAGGCTCAAAAACCAGCAGCTATAATAATTATTATTACTACTTCTATATAATAGGAGATAGCTGTTTTATATGCCTCATCATGTATCTGAATTAAAGGCGGGTATTAGAAGCAAAGGGAAAGGAAGTTGGGTAAACCAGAGGTGTCCCCTGAAAAGTTGTATGAAAACAGAGATACTCAATCCCAGGCAATTCTAATGCACATGCTTCAATTAAGAATCGAAGCCCGGGCCAGTTTGGCTCAGCGGTTGGAGCATTGGCCTGCGGACCAGAGAGTCCTGGGTTTGATTCCCGCTAGGAGCATGTACCAAAAAAAAAAAAAAAGAATCACTGCATATTAACCAAGAGGTATGTACAGGGCTGAAGTGGGAGGCAGGGGTTATGGTAAAAAACATAAAGAACAATGAAATCCCAAAGACATAACAAGTGATAAAGGACCTGATCAATTAACTCAACCCCATCTCTGTAACCAAGAATTGCACCATGAAAATATTCACATCCTGTCTAGCTAAGACAGAGTAACAGGGACCCGATTTACCCTCTCACCTTAAACAGACAAAAACCTAGACAAAATAGGACAATGGTTTAAAAGACACTGGAGGCCCTGGCCGGTTTTGCTCAGTGGTTAGAGCATTGGCCCGCGGACCAGAGAGTCCTGGGTTCGGTTACCGCTAAGGGCACGTACCTCGGTTGCAGTTTGTCCCCGGCCCTGGTTGGGGTCGTGTGGGTGGCAGCCACTCGTCTCACATGGATGTTTCTCTCTCTCTCTTCTTCTCTCTCTCCTTCCCACTCTATCTGAAGATAAATGCAAAAGTGTCCTCGGGTGAGGATAAAAAAAAAGAGATGGGAGACAGACAAGGTGAGCCCACAATGCCCAGCTTGCTCTGCTGTTTCCACCACAGGGAGGGGAAACGTGGGCAGAGCTGGGCAGGCTCCTTGAGTCGAAAAGACAGAGATGGAGGTTCAGCCTCCACCTAGCTTACTTGTTCATAAAAATGTTAAAATAAAAAGAGAGTGAGGAAGCATCCACCCGTCCTTACCCACTCATGAAGTCCCCAAAGATGTAGAGGCCATTGAGATTTGGAGATTCGCACCCACGGTAGACGTAGCCTCCGGTGACTGACTTCCCCACAGCATGGCCATAAGCATAGATTGGCAGGATGTCATCTGTCCCGGACCAGGAAAAGAAAGTGAGCGTCACAGCTAAAACTCGGGAGCTTCGAGCCGGAAGAAGGGGGCCTTTCAATGTAGTTGCCTGACTGAGAACGTTTTATTCTTGGTCTTCGGTATGACCAGCAACCCAGAGAATCATGTTCATCTTTCTCCACGAGGGTCCCATTGGCCCAGCCTCTGCAGGCAGGGAGGGAGCCGACAACCCCCACCCGCGAGGCAGGGACCTGGAATCCACAGCCTGTTTTTCCCTGAGGGTGACCTGGCGGATACTCGGGTTTGGGGGTTTAGAAACACTGCGAGGGCCTGTCTGGATGCTCTGTGACTTACAGGGCCAAACACACTAAGCAGGGGAGACAGCGTGCAAACCTCGGGAGCACGCGTTGATGACCGACGTTTGGGGCTGGTGCTAGTGACTGATCACAGAGGGATGGCATTTCAGTGGGCTGTCCCGACTGGGAAATAAATAACGCACAGCCCCCCATTCTTCTCTGCCAGTGGTTCCCAAAACAGTGTGCCTAAAACCGCGTGGGGTACTTATTTAAAAGAGAGATTCCTCGGTCTATCCTGCTCCCGGAGTCCACCCAAGATTCTAACTGATTAGGTAGACACATCGATTCCCGAGACACAAAGACATTTCGGGGACCCACAGGGCAAGACACCCCCAGGTTGTATGCCCCACCCCACCTCCTCCGGGAAGTCATCCAGAAAGCCTTACTTACCCAGAGAAGCATTGTGACAGAGTTTCCTGTCGTAACACTCAAAGCCTTCCCTCGCTCTCCAGCCATAGTTCCCGCCTTTCACAATGACGTTGACTTCCTCAAACCGGTTCTGTCCCACGTCCCCACAGAATATCCGGCCCCGGCCCCGGTGCGTGACGGGGTCGCCTCGGTCCACGGCACAGCGCCATACGTTCCTGATCCCATAGGCATAGACGGCGGGGTGGGCCCCTGGCTCAGAGACAAACGGATTGTCCAGGGGCACCCGGTACCGCCTGCCGTCGGGGCCGGCCCCGTTCACGTCGATCCTTAGCACTTTTCCCAGCAGGGAACTTCTGGAAGACAGAGGGCCGAGAAGTAGGCACAGCATAAACACACAGGGTGGATTGCTGGTCGTGGGCTGGGTCTGCTGCGTGTCTGAGGGACCTCCGTGGCTTCCACTCCAGCTGCACCAGTCTGCAGTCCCACCAAGAGTGCACAGAGGTTCCAAGGTCCCCACGTCTTGCCAACACTTGTTTGTTTGGTTTTTGTTTGTTTGTTTTTTTAAATAGCAGGGGTGAGGTGGAAACTCCTTGTGGTTTTGACTTGCATTTCCCTGACGACCAGTGCCGTAGAGCATCTTGTCATGTAGCTGGTGGCTGTCTGCAGGCAAGAGGAGCAGGTACAGGCTGCTGTATGGCACTGTCCCTGTAACTAACCGTGTTGTACTGGACACTTGTATCCAAAAACAAACTGGAGCAATACAGTAAAAAATGAGCCCTGGCCGGTTTGGCCCAGCGGTTAGAGCATCGGCCCACGGACCAATGAGTCACGGGTTCGATTCAGGGCAAGGGCACGTACCTCGGTTGCGATTCGTACCCAGTCAAGATGGGAGGCAGCCACTCGATGTGTCCCTTTCATGTCAATGTTTCTCTCTCTCTCTCTCTCTTCCTCTCTCTCCCTACTACTCTACCTGAACAAAAATGGAAAAATGTCCTCAGGTAAGGATAAAAATAAAATAAAAAATGAAATTAAATTAAATAAATAATACAATGGCACAGGACCAGAGGAGACAGCCAAGGAAGGCCTGCTAGTAATAGTCAATGGCCAACAACTGCTAAAAATCACAAGGGGAGACATGAGTCTCGATATAGATATAGATATAGATATAGATATAGATATAGATATAGATATAGATATAGATATAGATACAGATACACACACACACACACACACACACACACACATACGCACACACACGATATTAAGACTTCCTGACTTTTGGCTCAGTGAACCACTAGGCAAAAATTAGAGGTAGTTCTGGTCCACAGGACCCTGAGCAAATTTTATTTACAATGAAATGGTTTCTCTCAGGTTTGGTCTAATATTGTGAATTTTTATTTATTTATTTTTTAAATAGGCCAGAACGTTTTATTTTATTTTTTAAGTGCTTTATTGATTTTTTTTAGAGAGAAAGGGAGAGACATAGAAACATCCATGTGAGGAACACGGATTGACTGCCTCCTGCACGCCCCCTACTGGGGATCGAGCCCATGGGACCACGCTCAATCCACTGAGCCACACCAGCTGGGCTAATACTGTGAATTTTTCGAATGTGCTGCTGCTGTTCTTCCTCACAGAGCAATGTGATCAGCAGAAAGAACAGAGGTTTCACAAGCTCTGCCAATGACTGGTCTCTGGGCCTCAGTTTCCTCACTTGTAAAGCAGGGGAGAATCGCACTACCTCGCGACGTGGTTGTGATGGAAGGGTGGCATGAGTTATGGTGATACAGCACAGAGTACAGCAGGCATTTTACAAATGTTGACTCTTAATTACCAGCCGCAATATTGCTGTGCTGAGGGGTGGCGGGGACCAAGTGCTTGCTGGGTGGGAAGGGCCCGAGGATCATGTGACCCTTGTGCAGGTAGTGCAGCCTCGTTGTCTGAGTTCAAATTCTGGTTCTGCCTCAGCGTGACCTTGGACAAGCTACTTCACTCTTCTCTGCCTCTACTGTCTTGTTGTAAATGCTGTCATGATACCTACACTCCACAGGACTCCTTCGTTCTGTGAGTGTTGATGAGTGACTCCCTTGTGCCAGGCACTATTCTAAGGTTTGGCCTTGTGGGTCGTTAGAATTACATTCTCGAACAAACACAAGGTATTTAGACAGCACCTGGGCACAGTGGGCACCCAATATACGTAGCTCTTATGAACTGACCTGTCACGTGTCTCCAGGGCCTTGCACAGTGCCTGGAACTCAGTGCTCAATAATATTGCTGAGCTGAGTTGAATTGGATGGTCAGATCTTAGTGTGCAAATAATGTTCTGATAATATACATTCAACATTCTGAATTCGTCTCTACAAAGTGCTCTGAAAATTACACTGACATCCATAATATTAATTACCAACATGCACTATGCCTGAAATGTACTGGACAGAAAGCCAAATGTCCCTCCCACTTGCCTCAACAGAGAGAAATACCTCTTGCAGTAAGTGGTTTGGGTTTGACCCTCTGGAGGTTCCTTCTCCGTAAAACATTGCCCCAGAGGCTCAGCCTCCATCCAGCTTACTTGTTCTGAGCATTTCCAAATTTGCCAAAGGGATCCCCAGCCTGTCCTCCATCCCCGGTGAATATGTACAGATAGCCATCCAGACCAAAAAGAAGTTGTCCACCATTATGATTCGAGGCTGGTTCCTCTATCTCCATGATAACCCTGGAAGGAAAAAAGAAACCATCCATTAGGCTTTAATGTAAGCTCAATTTGTGGCCTCTTGAGATACTCAGAAATAACTGATCCAAACCAGCCAAGACCTGCTTCAGAGTTTCCAAGGATCACAGAGCAGGTAGCTCTGGGGCTCTGAGACACCCCTTGCATCTTAGTATGACTCCTTCATGCATCATTTTTCTTTTATATCATGACTTCATGAGAAGTAGACACAGCCGAGGTAACCACCATCCTTTTCTGAGGTTTGGCCTTACTCTCTGCTCTACCAGAACCCTCAAATCCCTTCCTTTGAGCATCCGCACAGGGTTAGTCTATCCATTAGTCTACCAGTTCTCCATGCTCTTTTCATTCCCCCAACCTGCCTGTACAGTACAAGAGAGACAAGGCAGAAAGAAGGGTAAAAGGCAGGATGGTAGAATGGAAAGAGCATGAGCTCAGGGTCAGTTAGAACTGACCCTTCTTCTCTGCGTCATCAGCGAGCTTCCTGTGAGGACGAGGATTCCCACATTCAAGGCAAATAGCCTGGGATCTAATGGCCACATCACAACCAGAGACTATTTTATGTATGTTGATATTATCTGTGCTTATTTGTCAAACCATTCTGGCCTTTGCTTACCTTCTACAAAGTCAGGCAAGCACAGTTCTAATTGGGCAGCTACAAGGTGATGGCGATACCCCATGAAGACCCTTGACTCTAGAGTCTAACTTGGGCAGGCCTCATTCATCAACAATGACTCCTTGGTCAACATTACAAGCTAGTGGCCCTAAAACCAAGAAAGTTCCCCCATATCACCTCAGAGGACTGAGTGCATGATCTTAGAACACAGTTCGCAGATGCTCACAGGTATGGCTCACCTTTCTGACACCGGGTCAGCTTTGTTGGGATCAGCCTGAGAAACTTTCATCTGACTAATCCGGATCTTTTCTGCCTTCTTCTTGCCCAGGCATGAATAATAAATGTAGAACTTGCGATTCCGGCGGAACTTGGGATGAAAAGCCATCCCCAGGAAGCCTCTCTCGTCCCCAATCCATGGAGTGGTCAACACGATGCTCCTGAGGTCCAGGAAGGGTTGCTCCAGGCGACTCCCATCAGGCAGATAGACCCACACCACCCCCACCTGCTCAGCCACAAAGAAGCGATGGGTGCCGTCCGCAGCATGGACCATGGAGACGGGGTTCCTCAGCCCGTTGGCCACCTCGGTCACGCAGAGCTGCAGGCAGCCCTGCTGGTCCTCGGCCACCACACCCAGGTTGCGGTTGAGATGGTCATTCCTCAGGACATTAGGGAAGCAATAGTCCCGGTCAGGAAGGCTAAGGGCACGGCAGAAGTGGGCGCCGTCTTTCGCACGGGACCCCGGGAGGCGACGGTTGTTGGTCAGCAGGGAGATGGCCGAGGGGCAGTCAGAGTGAAAGGCGGAGCAGTAGTCCGAGCAGAGGCCGGGAAGGCTCCTGCGGGGCGTCTGAGGGTTCTCCGCATCATAGAGATGGGCCGCGTACGGTGAGCATTCCTAGAAAGGACAGAAAGCTCAGCGCCCACGTGTCAGGCTGCCCGTGGTGCGCTGGTCCCAATGTGGGAGCTAGCAGAGGGGAAACGGTCTAGGGAAGAATCAGGAGGCTGGAGTTTCTATGACCAACGACTGGTGAAGCTGTTCCCTGGGGCCCAAATTCTCCATGCAGTCGACCCTCCAGGAAGGCGGAAAGGGGGGATAAATCGCCTTAGTCACTATACAGCTCCCGCATCTTAACTTAGTTCTTGACACATAAAGTTTTATTAAGTGATACATTTTTTAAAATTGTTTTTACCTTTTTTTTTTTTAGAGAGAGAGGAAGGGAGAGGGAGAGAGAGAGATAGAAACATCGATGAGAGAGAACATTGATCGGCCGCCTCCTGCATGCTCCTCACTGGGGATTTGGCCCACAACCTGGGCATGTGTCTTGACTGGGAATCAAACCAGCAACCTACTGGTACATGGGTCGATGCCCAGCCACTAAGCCACACCTGCTGGACAATACATTTTTTTTTTAAAGAAATAGTACCAAAGTTCTCCATCTTTCCCTTTATCATAAATGCTATATCTGTAAGATTTGACTTCTTTATACGAATCTGAAGCAACATGGCAAAAGTTTCACATTTGTTCAATCTTGAGTGTTGACTACATAGTATCAATTATTTCATTTTCAGCACTTTTCCACACGTCTGAAATATTTTATAGTTTAAAAATAAAATGATCGAAATGGACACATGATTGATCTATTGCTCCCAGAGACCAGATGTCTAGTCATTTCATCATTTATTAAAAATATTTAACTGCTTGCCCTGGCCGGTTTGGCTCAGTGGTTAGAGTGTTGGCCTGCGGTCCAGAGAGACCCGGGTTCGGTTCCCGCTAAGGGCACGTACCTTGGTTGCAGTTTGTCCCTAGCCCTGGTTGGGTCGTGTGGGTGGCAACCACTTGATGTGTCACTCTCACGTCGATGTTTCTCTCTCTCTCTCTCCCTCTCACTCTATCTGAACAAAATATCGAAAAATGTCCTCGGGTGAGGATAAAAAAAAAAAAAAGATAAAAATATTTAACTGCTTAATGAATATAAATCTGATTGTGGCTATAGGGACATATGATCTCTCTTTCCACAAACATACAAGGACAGCTTGCCCGAATGAATGAGCACCTGCTACTCAGACCTCCCTAAACTAGAGTAACTTGTAAGAAATAAATAGAATATTGAGGGTAGACCACCAACTCCCAGTAGTGACGGAAGGCAGAGGCAACTGAATAGGAAAGTAAACAAGGCCCATCTAAAGGGTGTCATTGGGCTGTTGAGAAGTATGGAGTCCTCTGGCCCTGAACCCCTGATCACAGACATCGCTCCCAGCCAGGAGGCCAGCACGGGACTGTCTGTTGTCTCATCTCTTAGCAAAGGGACCAGCATCATTTCTCAGTGTATCTGCGTTCCCCATTCTCTAGTAGTTCAACCCTGACTGCAGACTGCAGAGCCAGGGCTGTTGCCGGGAAGGAGGGAGAAAGCCCAGGATTCATGGGGTCTGATTCAGGCACTTGTCAGAGCTGCGTAGGAAGCAAACCGGACCGCATGAGGCTCATCTCACCGACTGCGCACTCCTGGGGAGCAGGGAGAAGAGGAAGGGGAGACAGAAATCGGGATGAAATGCCAGTGAACCGAGGGCCTGTGGAAAGACAACCACCATGACACGCCTCTCAGGGCCTGCCCAGTTGCTGCTACTGCATGAGCCCAGTAACATCATTTCTCTCAGAAAACCGAGCCCAGGCGGGGTCCCCCTGCCACCAGGCACTGCTCTGCTGCTGGAGACACAACGGCTCTGTCCCCTCTGTCCCCACGAAGCCTACACTCGCCCCGGGCAGACCTTAAGTACCTGCTGGGACTCCCCTTCGGAGTGGTGTTATCTAAGGCACGGGACTTGGCTTCCGAACCTCTAGACTCATGCCCCGCTGTTTGACCTTGGCCTGGTCCTTTGACACTCCTGATTCCTCATCAGTAAAGTGAGGGTCCTAACTGCTGCCTGCGGTCATTGCTGGGAACACACTACCTGTGTGGGGGAAGAGAGGGAGAGTTCTTTGCAGTTTTTTAATAAATAGACGCCTAGAGCCCTGGGTGGTTTTGCTCAGCGGTTAGAGCGTCGGCCCGTGGACCAGAGAGACCCGGGTTCGGATTCCGCTAAGGGCACATACCTCGGTTGCAGTTTGTCCCCAGCCCTGGTTGGGGTCGTGTGGGTGGCAGCCACTCGATATGTCTCTCTCACGTCAATGTTTCTCTCTCTCTCTTCCTTCCTCTCTCCCTCCCGCTCTGTCTGAAGATAAGTAGAAAAATATCCTCGAGTGAGGATTAAAAATATATATAAATAAATAAACAGATGCCTGTAGGTTATTCTGATTCTTCAAATCCCTAAAGCAGGAGAGCTCGGAATTTGGCTCCTGAGTTCCCAGCCAATGGGGAGGGGCAGGGGAGAGATGGAGGAGACATTTTGACCAAGAGAATTCTCGGAACCTGACAACCTCTGAGTTGCTCCTAAGAGCAAGCACCCAGCTTCTGCCCAGACGCTGTCCCAGAGTTAATTCTCCAGGAAGCAGCCGGGGGTGGTGCCGAGGTGAGAGCACAGCCCCAGGCGGTGCCACGCGGGTGGCTGGCTTCCGTGCCAGACTCTGCCGCGCTCCCTGCACGGAGCTGGCCACGCTCTCCAGACTCGCAGCAGCGGGAGCCCAGTGGTCACGCTGACATGCCCAGGAAGGTCTCAGATCAGAGGTCTGCCTGGATTTCCTGTGTCTGCCCCCGCCCGTCGTTGGAGCGCTTCTTCCCACGGCAACCTCTTCCATCAGCTCTCCCAAGCTGGCTCTCTCCTGAACCCCTGAGCCCCTGAACCCCTGTTCCCACTAAGCTGGTGTGTGCAGCCTGCACCTGGCATGGGAGATGCCGGCTAGGGAAGTGGCTCTGGGCTGCTGGAGAGCCAGGAGAGGCAGAACCTCTGAGTCATTGGCCCTCAGCACTGGTGCGCGCCCAGGTCAGCTCTGGAAAGGCGGGGAGAGCCCCCGACCCCTGCCGCCAGCACCCACACACCAGGCCCCTGGCACACATGACCCAGTGAGGCCTGGACCCCAGCAGCTGCCACCGCCCCCCACCCACAGGTACCACACGGACACCACAGGTGTGCACTGTGCCCAGCTGGAGCACTGTGGGAGGACCAGACGACACTGCACTGAACGCATGAAGGACACAGGCTCATTCTCCCCGGGGGGAAACAGCACCGGAGCAGCAGAACCCCGGGGAGCGCTTCAGGAAACCAGGGGAACCAGCCTCGGCACATCCCAGCCTCCAGGGGCCTCCAGAGCCCAAAGCTCCACGGTGAGGCAGCTGAGCCTCTGGGTCCCAGGGTCCCAGGGTCCCAGCCACCCGACCAGCACCCGGTCTGCTGGGCTGGAGGGTGCTTCTCCAAGCCGGCTGGCTCACTTCCCTCGGTTATTTTTACACTCGGGCCTACCTGGCAGAGGATGTCTTTAATGTGACCGCCGCACAGCTCCCGGCCCTTCCCATCAAAGTAGTCCATGATGTCCCCATACCGAGCGGCGATGCGCTGGTCCTTACGCTGGTCACAGCAGCCGAGGGACTCATAGTCGGAGCAAAACGCGAGGTGCAGGGAGGGCTGGAAGGGGGGGCCGTAGTCCAGGCACTGGGGGTGCCCCTGCAGCAAGCCCACCTGGTCCAACAAGAACGTGAGGCAGAGGCAGAAAGTGCCAGAAGAGGTTGGGAGCCAGGGGGCCTCCCAACTCAGACCACCCCTGGGAAGGGTTGTCCTCAGCATTTTGGCCTCGGCAACACTCAGGCTGCTGTGTTTGCTCAGGTTGGCTTCCCCGCTCTGGGCTAATCCTGCCCTCCCCTCCCCACCCCGTTTTCCTCCTTCCTTCTCTCCCCCCCCCCCCACCAAGTTCACGGGGGGTGGTTTCTGAGCAGTAGCCCTTCTGAGGGCTGGGCAGCCAAGTGTCTCCTGTGAAAGCCAGGAGAGGTTTCCCTGTCCCTTCTAGTCCCCTGGACATGAAGTCCAGGCACCTACTGCTGACTTATTGGGGTGCATGGCTGCTTAGCAAACAGAGGTGATGGTGTCAATGGCAGGGGTGCTGTGAGTCATTAAAACTGCAAAGAATTCCTGCAAGGGGGAAGGAGCCAGAGACCAGGACATCTGGGCTGTTTACCACTAGCTGAGCCCCCAAGTCTCCCGCAAAGACATGTTACGCAGTCCAGACAGCCGTCTGTGGAAGCCAAGACTCAAATGCTCCCGCGGTGCTTGGTGGCTGCAGGGACTTGGGTGTGGATCGGGAAGACGGGAGCTGTCTGGTTCCTGGGATCCGGAAAGGTGTATTCAGAGTGGGAGGAAGCCAGGACATTTCATGAATTGAGAGGAGACGGTGAAGGAAAAGGAGGGGTGTGACCCAGTGCAAACAAGGAGAAGCAAGGCAGTTCTATCAGGACGCAGAGACGTCTGGGTCCTTTATTTTTGCCGAAGGGATACCTGCTTAGGTATTCCTCTGCACACAGCGTAGGTCTCAGCATTAGTATGTAAGAACGTGTTCTGTTCTATACATGTGCCATGCACACAACAGGCCTTTGATAAGCGTTTCTGGAATAACACGGAGTCCCAAATTCACACAGCCCCAAACCCACACGGAGGCACGAACAGGGGCCTCGGCCCTCGGAAAACACTCGGTACCTGAGCGCACTTTCCTCCTGGTGTTTTCCAAGCTTCCCCTACACCCTGAAACTTCCTTACTGGCAAAAGCTTCCCTTTGAAACGCACGTGAAATCAGAACTTCTTCTTGGTCCAGATGGGCTTCCAACGAGGGCCCTCCGCCTGGCTCTCCTACTCACCACCAAGAACAGCCTTTGCACCCTGGCTGGATTGGCTCAGCGGTTAAAGCATCAGCCTGCGGTCCCGAAAGACCTGGGTTCGGTTCCCGCTAGGGGCATGTACCTTGGTTGCAGTTTGTCCCCGGCCCTGGTCGGTCGTGCGGGTGGCAGCCACTTGATGTGTCCCTTTCACATCGATGTTTCTCTCTCTCTCTCTCTTCCTCTCTCTCCCTCCCACTCTACCTGAACAACAAAAAAAATGTCCTCGGGTGAGGATAAAAAAAAAAGAACAGCCTTTGCCACGTGTCCTCAAGAGGGGACAGCCGTGTCTGTGCTTTCAAGGCTCTGGATTAGGGAAGCCCCAAACTGAATTTAAAATATAAACATTGCCTGGCCCGTGTGGCTCAGTGGTTGAGCGTCAACCCATGCACCAAGAGGTCACCAGTTCGATTCCCGGTCAGGGCGCATGCCCAGGTTGTGGGCCCGATCCCCAGTAGGGGGCATGCAGGAGGTGGCCGATAGATGTTCTCTCTAATCGTCGTTTCTCTCTCTCTCCCTCTCCCTTCCGCTCCCTCTAAAATCAATAAAGGAAAATATATGTATATATATTGAGTCCAAAAGAAATACCTTCGTTGGAAAATAATTCTAAATGAGTCCATTTACAGAATTATGGCACACATTAAACAAACAAGCAAACAAAGACTAATATGGCCACAATAAAACATGAAACTTTGTAACTACCCAGGCCATGTAAGACCAAATCAGATCTTATTGTTTGGAGCCCAGCGATTACAAATCAGCACAAATCAGCAGGAACGGATCAGCTGGAAGGTCCCCTCAGGCAGAGGACAGTGTGAGCTTGATTGTTACAATATGTAACATTTCCGATGGGACTACATATTTTAGTTGTAATGACATAATACATGACTATATAATACTTAACGCAACAATCCATTTTACAATAGATGACTGTCAATTCGGCAGGTGTGTGTGATCACGTGCAAAGGATTGTGCTGGAAGAGGAATGTCTAACCGAAAACTGATACACAAGACAAACATTTTCAGGGAGTTTTTGACAAGAAGAAAGGTTAAAGTGGGTGTCCAAACTATACAAGGCAGATGATATTAAGATGACAATAAGAAAGGAACACATAGTCATCAGGGATTCTGAGAGAGAGAGAGGACATCCGGCTGGAGGGGATTAAGAAAATCTTAATAAATTTTAGATAAGGTACAGGTGAGCAAGAACAGGACACAAGCTGTGACTAAGTATTAGGTGAGTTTGGGAGGTAAGTCTGGAGCTGGGATCACACTGAGTATCCGAAATCACTTAAACTCCCACTTTTGAAAGAGATGGTATTTAAAAAATAAAATGAAATACAACGGATTGTATTAGCTTGCTAGAAGCAGCACAAACTGGGCGGCTGAGACAACAGGAAATTGTGTCTCAGTCTGGATGCCAGAAGTTCAAGAGCGAGGTGTCAGCAGGGTTGGTTCCTTCTGGGAGCCGTGAGGGAGAATCTGTCCCGGGCCTCTCGCCCCTCTTTAGGGCTTACTGGTACCAGTCTGCAGTCCTTGGCTCGCAGAGGCACTGGCCCAGTTTCTGACTTTGTGTCCCGTGGTGTTCTCCCTGTGTGCATGTCTGTGTCTAAAGTTTTCCCTTTATATGGACATCAGTCATGTTGATGAAGACCCAACCTAATGATGTCACTGAAACTTGATTACCTCTGTAAAGACCTTCTCTCCAAATAAAGTCACATTCTGGAGCACTAGGGGTTAAGACTTAAACATACCTTTTGGGGGGTACACAATTCAATCCACAGCAGTTGTACACACACATACACACACATAATTTTATATGGCGACTGCCTTGTAAAGATAATGTTGAGAGCTCTCTGTCCCGTCCCTTCTCCCCCAGGCCCTTATACCATAGCTTTCTTTCTCCTAAGTTCCAAGGGCCTTCTTTTGCCTCTGTAACTTATTTCCTGAGCTGACACAGCGCAGATGGCTCATTTATTTCTACCTCTATAAAATTAAATAAATAAATAAAATAAAAAGATAATGTTGAGAGGTTAAGAGTCTGGTATTTACCCTTGAATCAGGTCATGGAAGAGAATAGAAAAACATATAAAATGAAATGTTCTAGCTCAGTAGCTTCTCCCATAGTTTACTGATTTCTCTTGTGGTGTACCTGCTTGCCCTCAGTCTGAAAGCGATGAGACTAAGGAAAGTATTAATAACTTCCCTCACTGGTACCAAGCATTACAATTTACGGAGAATTCTCACACTTGATCTCATTTGATCTTTGCAACCATCCTTTTAGGTGAGCGAGGTAGATTTTACATCACCAATATATGGACATGTGAATTTAGTCTCACAAAGGTTCCGACATAGGGTCACAGTCTAGGTGCACGTAAGATGGCAGTAACATTTAGGTGTTCTGAATACAGCCCAGATCTTTTTCAACCCATCATTATGTATAAATATTAATAATTAGTAGTAGTACAGCACTTTCACCTGTTCTTCATTTATAAAAATGTGTTAGATGCGGCCAGCCAACTGAAGAGCATGTTTCGATGAGATTATCCGTGAACTCTGGGTAGAGGCATGCTGGGAGTTGTAAATCAACACTGGCCGTGGTTTCATTGTGGAGCTCAAGGGGCATAAGCAAATTCACGATCTGCCTCTACTCACTGAGTTAAAGGCTACATCCACACCTGAGAGGTCCCTGTAGCACTGAGAAGCAGACTCTTACTTGAAGGCTGAGCGTTTCTTTCAGAAGCATGGTTCTGGGATGGAGGAAGTTAACAGCCTCAAATAGATTCATTCTATAAGAATGGAGAAAATACATGGTTTGCCACCTAAACATTGGACTTTCTCTGAAGTTGGTGAGCCTCCGCAGAACTCAAATACTAGTTACCTGAACAGTAAACGTGTAAGAGCCAAGACAGTTTTTGTTGTGGTTAATCCTCACCTGAGGATATTTTCCCCATTGATTCTTAGAAAGAGTGGAGGGAGGAGAGAGAGAAATATCGATGTGAGAGGCACATCTATTGGTTGCCTCCTGCATGTGCCCCGGCTGGGGTCAGGGATCAAACCTGCACCCAGGTATGTGCCCTTGACGGGAAATCAAACCCACAACCCTTCAGTCTGCGGCCGACACTCTGAGCCAAAGCAGCCAGGGCAGAGGCGACGGTGCAGACGAACTCTCACTCCACCAGTCTCCACAAGAGGTTCCAAAGCTCGGCTCACACTCCAGATGTTGTTCTGGCGTCTGGGCCACGCTTTCCCAGGGGCCTGCGTGACCCCGGGGCCCCACTTCCTGCAGTCCCCTGCGCTGTCCGGCCGCCTGCGGCAGCATCCTCGCTTCCCAGAGAAAGCAGAGGACACAGGAGTTCTGAAGCATGCCGCAGACTGCTGTGCCCGGTAAACAAACAGCCCAGAACCTTCGCAGCTCAGCCAGCGCCAGCTGAGAGCAGCCAGCCCCCTCCCCTCTTGGACCCGATCAGTCCTCCAGAATCATCGGCACCTCTTATCCGGTCACTCAGCCCCAAACTGCCATGTCTTCACACCAAAAGAGAAAGGAGTCCTCTAAATCTTTGTTTCCAAAGTTTCCCAACAGAACTCATCACCAAAATCCGCTTCAGGACAGTCACTCTAACAGGACTCATTTAGCATCTGAAAGAAGGCTCTAAATTCACTTAACAGTTCCACAGTTCTATCTTCTTACACAAAGTCAGGCGAATTATCTGCAAATAACAGTCACTGCTGTACAGGTGTATTCTCTGACTGAACAAATATGTTTTTATTTGAAGGCTATTCCTTAATAAATGTTATATTTAACAGTACAAAAAGGAAAATATTTATAAAGAGGCAAGGCAGTGAGACTGTTTCTGCAACTATAACTAATAGTAAGAGAAAATATAAAAATAACTTTTTTGTAGCCGTATTAAACTACCTTAAAATACCAAATAAATAAATAAATACACTCAATAATTATCTGTTGAGCTTCTACACTGTAGCTACTAATCTGAAATAACTGAAATTCAACATCAGAGTCCTGGATTTACAATACTGTATTTTTTCACTAACTTCTTCATCCGCTTCATTTTCTTCTTTAAGACTTGATGATCTTGTTTTGAAATATACCGCAAATATCTACAACCTAAAAAAAATAAAACAAAGAAAAAAAATAGTTTTAATACTTATCAAATTATTCACATATATTTCTACATTTTTAACTTTGCTTCACTTCAGGCATAGTAATGACTATGAAATAGAATGACTTGTATTGTCTACACCAGCACGTCCTAAGCACATTCTCAACATGAAAGAGAATGACTTGTGTTGTCCTCACCAGCACGTCCTAAGCACATTCCCAGAGCCATTACCAATAAAATGTACTGCTTCCTCTTTACGGAGATGCTTCTGATCCATCAACATTAAAGCATAAACTTTAGCTGGTTTTCTATGCTGCCTCCCACACCCTAAAGTGATATGCATAGTATATACATTCATATATTAAATGAGCCTTCTCCAAAAGCAAATTACTATAGATTCCCTCTCAATGTTAGCTTGTAAGGCAGTGAAAAAGGCATCTGTTCTCTAGAGAAAACTTGATATAAAGCATTAGAATAAACAAATCATAGGTTAATCAGGGATTACCCAGTCCTTCTTTTTTTTTTTTAATCCTTACCCGAGGATATTTTTCCATTTTTTTGTACAGATAGAGTGGGAGGGAGAGAGAGGAAGGGAGAAAGAGAAACATCGATGTGAAGGGACACATCGAGCGGCTGCCACCCGCACGACCAACCAGGGCCAGGGACAAACTGCAACCGAAGTACGTGCCCTTAGCGGGAACCGAACCCGGGTCTCTCCAGACCGCAGGCCGACGCTCTAACCGCTGAGCCAAACTGGCCAGGGCGGGGATTACCCAGTCCTTCTAACCACCTAGCAGCTGGCTGGAGTTTATGTAGCCCTGTCAAAGGTGCTGGGTGCTCATTAGAAGTTCTGTCAGGTCCTCTGCCCATTTTTCAATCAGATCATTTGTTTTTGTTGTTGTTGAGTTATATAAGTTCTTTATATATTTTGGATATTAGCCCCTTATCAGAAGTATCATTTGCAAAACCTTCTCCCATTTGGTTGGTTGTCTTTTTGTTTTGTTGATCTCTTTTGCTGTGCAGAAACTTTTTAGTTCGATGCTGTCCCATTTGTTTATTTTTGCTTTTGGGGTCAAGTTTACAAAACCCCCGAGACCAAGGACTATAAGTTTAGTATATGTTTTCCTCTATGTATTTTATTGTCTCAGGTTTTATAGACAAGTCTCTAATGCATTCTGAGCTAATTTCCGGGTCTGATGTCAGAGAGCAGTCCAGCTTCCTTGTTTTGCATGTGCTTTCCAGTTTCCCAGCACCACTCATGGAGTGTTTTCGGCTTTTTTGTCAAAAACTAGTTGCTCATATATGTGTGGGTTTATTTCTGGACTGTCAATTCTGTTGCATTGGTCCGTATGTCTGCTGCATGTCTGTTTTTCTGCCAATACCATACTGTTTTGATTATGGTAGTATAATTTGAAGTCAGGAAGTCAGGCTTTGTTCTTTTTTTCTCAGGATTGCTGTGGCAATTCGGGGTCTCTTGTGGTTCCATACAAATGTGAATTTTTGTTCCACTTCTTTGAAAAATACCATTGTGGTTTTGACGGGGATTGTATTGTATCTGTATATTGGTTTAGGTACTATGGCCATTTTAACTGCTAACTCTTCTAATCCATGAACACGAAATATCTTTCCATTTCTCTGTCTTCTTCAATTTCTCTGAACAATCTCTTGTGATTTTCAGTGTATGGGTCCTTTCACTTCCTTTGTTAAATTTATTCCTACGTATTTTATCCTTTCTGTTGCAATTGCAAATGGGATAGTCTTCCTTTCTTTTTCTGATATTTCATTCTTAGTATATAGGAACACAATCGATTTTGTACAGTCGTCCCTCACCACTTCACACTTCGGCTTTCTCGGCTTCACTCTATCGCGGTTTTTTCAAATATAGCACAGTAAAAAGATGCGCAACCTCACTAGCTATAACGGAAATGCAAATCAAAACCACAATTATATTCTACCTCACACCTGTTAGAATGGCTACTATCAATAAGAAATAACAAGTGTTGCCCAGGCTGGTTTGGCTCAGCAGTTGGAGTGTCAGCCTGCAGACCAGAGAGTCCCAGGTTCGGTATAGCTAGGAGCACATACCAAAAATAAAATAAAAAAAAATAACAAGTGTTGGAGCGGATGTAGAGAAAGGGAACCCTTGTACACTGCTGGTGGAATTGTAAATTGGTGCGGCCTCTATGGAAAACAGTATAGAGGTTCCTCAAAAAATTAGGTTTAGAGCTACCATATGGCCTAGCAATCCCTCTTCTGGCTATCTACCCAAAATATTTTTTAAAACACAGTCATAAAACTGTATGTATCCCTACGTTCACTATAGCATTATTCACAATAGCCAAAATGTGGAAACAACTTAAGTATCCTTTGATGAATGACTGGATAAAGAAAATGTGGTACATATATACCACAGACTGCTATTCAGTTATTAAAAAGTATGAAAACTGCCATTTGCAACAGCATGGATAGAACTTAAAAATATCATCATAAGTGAAATAAGTCAGATACAAAAGGACAAGAACCAAATGACTTCACTCACACGTGGGATATAATGCAGAAAGCAACAAACTCAGAGACACAGATAACAGTATGGTGGTTACCAGAGAAGAGAAGGATTGTGGGGAGGATGAAGAAGGTAAAGGGGCCAAACATATGGTGACAGAAAGAGACTAGACTTTGGGTGGTGAACACCCAACACAGGTGCTGCGTTACAGAATTGTGCACCTGAAACTTACTCAATGTTATTAACCAATGTTACCCCAATAAATTTAATTTAAAACAAAGAAGTGCTACCTGCATTTCATAGTCTTACAATGTAAGAGGATCAATCAGTTGTTAAATATTTCAGAGACATGAATCAAATTTCTGCAAGAAAAATGTAAACTGGATGGTGTGAAAGGTATTTTACATTTGGTAAATGAATGAGACCATAAAGAATATGCGTAAATTTAATTTCATTACAGTCTTAGCTTGTATATATCCATCTTCTCTGGGAAATTGTTGGGATATACACTGTAACTAGAGCAGTGGTTCTCAACCTTCCTAAGGCCGCGACCCTTTAATGCAGCTCCTCATGCTGTCTGTGGGCGCATCTGCATGTGGGCAGACCTGCCTACAGACGGACAGAGGAGCGGGGTCTTGGTTCCTAAGACCATCGGAGATATGTTTTCCGATGGTCTTAGGCGACCCCTGTGAAAAGGTTGTTCGACCCCCAGGTAGAGAACCGCTGAACTAGAGTAACCATTTTATTATCCTTGAAAACACCAGAATTGCTAATATTTTATTGGCTATTGGGTATTAACAGAATAATTTGTGTCTCTCAACACATCTACCGCTTTGGTAAAATCAAAATACTTTGTACACTGATTTCTGCTTCTACCTGGGATACAAAAAGCTGGAGAAAACTTTGCTTCCACACTAAGACAGAGAAAAGCTGAGTAAACTACCAGCTCCCCCAGAGCAGAAGCCACAGGGCAACCGAGTAGCCTGAACAGCAAGGAGGAAAGGCCTCTCCAGTGACCAATGGGCCTGGCTCCCCTTAACAGAGCACGGAAGAAGGGCGGCCCCCATGTCCCACTCTAAGCACAAAGCAAAGGCGGACCACAGCTAGAACTGCATCCTATGATGCAATGAGGGTGACCAGAGCAAGAACAAAACCCAGCTCAACATTTGAACCAACTAGCTCAACCCCACATGAACACCCGGAAAGAAGAGGGGAGCCCATTTTCAGGCATAATTAGAACTTTTACTCATAGAACACTTAGAATTTCTAGAGCACTTGGACATGATGCTCACTTGAGGCTTACAACAACCCATGGACGGGTGTCACAATGTTCCTTTCACAGAGAAGGCTCCCAAAGGTTAATGCTTGGCTGAAGGACGTGGGAAGTTACAGGACAGAGCTGGAAAATGAACCCAGGTTCTCGGACTCTGCTCAAACACAGGCATCTTTAGGTATCAGTACTAGATACCTCTACACTCAGACAGGCAGAGAATCACAGTTCAAGTCACATTTCTGTTCCTGGTCTTTGGCGTATTAGAGAAAAATTTTAAAATCATGTTCAGGGTTGTTAATCTCTTTCCTCCTACAAAGCCAGCATTTTAGTAATCTTAGTAACCATCAGAAACACCCTGAAAATACAAATTCCAAAATAATAAAGGTCACCTAAAATCCACCAGAAACATCACTTTAAGATGCATGCCCTGGCCGGTTTGCTAAGTGGTTAGAGCATCGGCCTGCGGTCCAGAGAGACCCGGGTTCGGTTCCCGCTAAGGGCACATACCTCGGTTGCAGTTTGTCCCCGGCCCTGGTTGGTCATGCGGGTGGCAGCCACTCGATGTGTCCCTTTCACGTCGATGTTTCTCTCTCTCTCTCTCTCTCTCTCTCTCTCTTCCCCTCTCTCCCTACCATTCTATCTGAACAAAAAAATGTCCTCAGGTGAGGATTAAAAAAACAAAACAAAGATGCTTTAAACCCGCTAGCAACACACTGCTTCCTTGTGGTCAGTGTGAGGTTCACCTTCTTCCTCTCTGAACATATTTTGTGGCCACCTTTTCATATTTTAGTGATACAGAGCAGGTAAGAATTTTAACAGCTAAAACAGGGTTTTTAAATTAAGTTAATGGGAAATATACTTTTTCTTAAGGGGAAAAAATGTTTCATCCTTACAGGAATAAGTAAGTAAATATAATACAGAGCTATTGTAGACATGAAGGTCAATAAAGAGTATTTCTCTATTTCTAATAAACTAGACAAGTTCAGTAAACTTTCTACACAGAAGGATATTAAATGCTATTTCTCTAGCATCTAAGATCCTTAGGTACTGTACTGGGTGAGCTGTCAAGATGAATGAATGGTCATACTTTGTCATTTCAAAATAGTCTAAAAGCAATGTCTAGATAAAAAGAAAATAAAGCGTGTACCTTTTCCTAACAATATTCCAGCTACGAGAGCTTTCTCATAAGCCAAAGCTTTATCTTCCTTCCAATCACTTTTTGCCCAAAAGTAGCTGAAGTGAAAGTCTGGCCACCAGTTTTTCCTGGAATTCCACTCTTTTTGAACCCAGGCAAGATGATTTCTGGAAAAAAAAAAAGGTAAGTGATGGACACGGATCTATACTGTCAGAACATGAACTTCAGTAGTCTGTGGAATGATGAGCAGGAAGACATTTCAAACTAATTTCTGAGCTGGCCATGGACGTACGAGCACGTGCATGAAATCACATCCGCTTTGGTTCTCTGATCTCCACGTCCCATTTCCAACTCACTGAACAGCCAGTTCAGTACAGCGCAGTGGTTAATAGCACAGACTCCGAAGTCAAAATCCTGGATTCAAACCTCAGATCTTCCATTTGCTATCTATGTGATCCTGGCCAAGTTGTTTAAGCTCTCTGGGCCTCAGTGTCCTGGAAGATATTAATGGCACCCAGCTCCCAGCTTTGTTGTTATTCGGATTAAACTGGTCCAGCCATAGAGTCTCATATAAAGCTCTCGGCATAATGTCTGGTACATAAATGTCAGCTACAATTATTACTTAAAAGTAACTTTAAAACCTGATTTTAAATTATATGCTACAAAGAGTTACTATCCAAATTCAGATGCCATTATTATACAAATACATGAACAGTCCTGTTTGACAGCTGAACCAGACAATGCTAAGTGTTCATCAACAATTTAATTGAGCAAATACATGTTTAGGACCTATTTGTGTCCTGTGGCAGAACTTCCATAGCTTCAAAAAAATGAACAGCACATTTCTCTGCCTTCAGGAACTTTATGGTTAGTAGGGATTTAGATAGTGCTTTAGAGATGAAAAGTGGTTTACAGTAGTATATTGCTCCAAAAATATTTTAGATTCAGCTCTATCTCCCAGGTCAGGTCAGATCTGAAACCTGAAACAGGTCCCCACTGATAATGAACTTCCTAACCAACCAAAATGGATACAAACATAGATGAAACAATTTTTTGATATCCCTTCTTCTCGCAAAGGAAAAATGCAGCACTAATGATGTTATAATCAAAGCTATTGTTTGATGATATCCAGCTCATGCCCTGACTGGTTTGGCTCAGCGGTTAGAGGGTCGGCCCGTGGACCAGAGAGTCTCGGGTTCGGTTTCTGCTAAGGGCAGATACCTCAGTGGCGGTTCGTCCCCAGATCCAGTTGGGGTTGTGGGGGTGGCAGCCAGTGGATGTGTCTCTCTCACATCAATGTTTCTCTCTCTTCCTCCCTCTCTCCCTGAGTGTACTCGGGTGAGGATGAATAAAAATATCCAGCTCACAATGCACGTAAGAAATATTTGCTGAATGAATTGCCTACGATAATCTTATGAAGCCCTAAAAACCCACTGAAAATTACTGAAAACAGCTGAGAGGGAAGCTGCTTCCCATGCAAATGACAAAGAGTTTTACAAGAGTCTGGCAAAGAGTGGGAGTGATACCGTCTAGTCTGTATTTCCACTTGGAAAACCTACATAGTCCCTAACAGAGAAGTGCTCCTTATTTTGTGGTGTAGTCTTTGTTTTGCTGGTGTAAACAAATTTTGATAGACCTTTTGTATGTTATACTTGTTATTTTGTATGTCCTTGCTTCTGATGAAGTCAGAAGCAGCAGAAGACAGTTCAATAAGTCCAAAAACATAAACAAAGAAATTTATTTAAAAAGTGACAGATTACCAGCTATAATGTTGGGAAATACTACGTATGCTGATCTGGTAGTAAATACCATGGGTGCTTACTTACCCCATTAAGGTCTGTCTGAGATATTTTGCCAAATATTGCCAAGCAGTTATATTTTTAGTGCATCCAGCAAAATCTAAGACACCGAATAATACTTCCAACGCCAGTTTCTGGTGTTCTTCTTTGTCTGCAATGGTCACAGCAATTCGGGTTTACGAAAGTACTGAAGTACACAAAACTTAAGCAATATATTCAGCTGATAAAATGTCACTGAGCCATCAGCCCTCTAATTTGGTTAACAGTTTAAAACAATTCATTGTACTCATACTCTCCTGTGATGAATCGGAAAAATTCAACGATTTAGTCCATGCTAAAGTCAGAAAGCTGAGTCTGGTCCCTAAATGGGCTACACAGTTGAACATGTCAGTTAGGGGCGTCAACCCCCATCCCCAGTCAAAAATCCATGTCTAACTTTTGATTCCCTAAAACCTCAACTACTAATGGCTTACTGTTAACTAGGAGCCATACTGATCACACATTTTGTATGTTATATGTATTATATACTGTCTTCTTACAACACAGTCAGCTAGGAAAAAGAAAATGTTAAGAAAATTATAAGGAAGAGAAAATACATTACAGTATTTATTGAAAAAATTCTGCATATAAGTGCACCCACACAGTTCAAACCCATGTTGTTCAAGGGTCAACTGCATACACTGAGAACATTATTTAAAGTACCTGCTCTATTTGGACATTTCATATATGTTTTCTCCCGTCAGGAGAGGCACCAAATACTTTCAGTACCTGTTGGACTTGGACTGATTTCTTCCTTTTCTACACTGAGCTGCGATTGCAGTAGTAACTAAAGTGAGTTAAATTATGTGAATTAAGGCCACTTCTCTTTTGTTGACTGCTGCCTAATGTGCTCCAGCAGGAAGCAGGGAACTTCCTTTGTCAAGGGCCACAGTAAATGGTTAGGCTGTGTGAGTCACGTGGTCTCTGGCACAACGGAGCAGGCATGCTGCTGCAGTGCAAAAGCAGCCCCAGACAACACGCCGTGCAGGGACGGGCTGTGCTCCCGCAGGACTTGATTCGTAAGGACGGCTGAGCAGTGGGTTTGGCCCATGGGCCAGTTTGCTGACTCCCTGGTCTACAGATTGCCTGCACAGAGAGATATGAAATAAACATGACCTACCTGATTTTCTCAGTAACCTGTGGAATTCTAACATCAGTTTATGAGATGGTACAATCTGATACAAAATCTAGAAGAAAAAAATAATTGCGTAGTATTTACACATTCAAAACGCATTTCTCAATTTTCAGCTTACATTCAAATAAAGTTCTTTCTCTCGAATAGCCCCTCAGTGAATGAATCACAGATTTAAAAGATACTTTGCTTTTATCCAGTTTGAATTTGGGTATAGAAAGCAGATCAGCGATTGCCTGGGGCCAAGAGTATGTGGGATTAGCTGTAAAGCGAAATCATGGACTTTCTAGGCCGATGGAAATGCTCAATATCTTGATCATCATGGTGGCTACATGGATGTATATATTTGTTAAAGTGCATCTAAGCGTACACTTAAAATAAGTGTTGTATTGTATGTAAATTAAATTTCAATAAAGGTGATTTTTAAAAAGATAGCGATGTGGAACTTTCCAAGCAGAGGGGCAAAGGGTTTCTGAAATACTGATCCTCTCCCTCCGTCTCACTTGGGCAGGGGCGTGGTCTGGAGCCTACGGCCTCCTCTGTGTACTTCAGTGCACCGCACAGACATTGGACTCTGTGGGTGCTATAACTGAAGCTGGAAAGCAATGAACTAACAATGTTTTAAAACAGATCCCCAACCCTGCTCAAACACTGACATAAAACTTCTATACCTTCAGCACACTTATCAGTTTCTCTCTTGGTGCCTTCTCTCTCTTTAGAAAGTTGTATAAGTAGATGTGCGCATTGGGGTTTGATGGGAACTTTTCGTCATAGGCATAATTAGTGAGGACCTCGCGGGCTCCATCTTGATCTCCATAGAATTCCAGAATCTTTATAAAAAGACATAATACCTTAGCTACATTCTGTAAGATAGCCACATGAAAGATAATGCACAAGTTAATGATGGGTACAAAAATACCATGAACCTGAAAAATAGCCTTGACTCTATGGGGAACGGTGGTCATGCCAGTTTCTGCTCTCACCAGCCTGTTACAACCTCTATGGAGCACAGAGACCACTGACCACGAAGGCCTCCGTGGCTTCCCATTTTCTCCTTCTCATACTTTGTTACTGAAAAACGCAGCCACTTCACACAAGAAATGCTCCTATGAGAAATAAAGTGCTCAAAGCAGAGCACACTACAACTGAAAAGACCACAGGACGCAACTAACCTCGGTGCCCTACATAGCTTCAGGGGAATGACAATCCCTTTCATTTCATTCCCACCCTTACACAGGAACTTCCAGATTCACGAGCATTTGGTCTCAGAGATTATCTTCTGACAACACAATGATCAATTTAGCACTCATGAGACGTTCAAAAAGCACATTATTTTATTTTGTTTTGTTTTTTTTAGGTACGTGTCCCTAGTGGAAACCGAACCCGGGACTCTCTGGTCCGCAGGCCGACGCTCCATCCGCTGAGCCAAACTGGCCCGGGCAAAGCACACTATTTTGATGATTTATTCCCAGTGCCCTGTGCCAAGGCCCTCTGTCCTTCCGCAGTGTCTCTGAGATAAGAGGATGTCCTTATGAACTTTCGGAAAGCCATTATTCTTCATTCGATACACTGTGACCTAATTTCGGACTTTTGTCCCCTTCTCTTCTAAAGCCCGTCAAATCATAAAAGATCTTTCTGCTTTTAAGTTTAATAAGAATAATATAGCGTTGACATTTACAACTATATTGCTATTTTGTAAATATTTGGCTATGACATGTTATCCAGTTGTAAAAATAAACACAAAGTCACATGTACAGTATACTAGTAAAATAATCAAAATTGCCCAGAACAAAGAAAGTGACATTATTTATTTAACAATTTTTAGACATTAGTGTCCTTCTAATCAGTACAGATTAGGCTTATAATGAAACTAATAAAAATTTATGAAAAGTCTATTTACCTCAACATAACTCTTCACAAAAGGGTCCCAAACTCCAGGAATCTGAATCAATGCACAAAAGTTCATAGATGTATTCCAGCTGTGGTTGTACATACTCTGAGATGCTGTGTTATAAGCATAATCATCCTCATCTGTTCAAAGACAAAGGATTTGTAAGAATCATTCAGTACTGAAGACTTCTGTTGAATCAGCAATCAATAACTACCCACAAGAGAAGCTCAGGCCGCAATGGCTTTACTGGTGAATTCTAACACTTAAAGAATAACACTGATTCTTCACAAACTCTTCCTCCCCTCCAAAAAACAGAGGGAACACTTCCAATTCATTCTATGAGGACAGTATTACTCTCATACCAAAACCAGACAAAGACAAGAAAACTATAAACCAATATTTCTAGGAATACAGATGCAAAAATCCTCAACAAAATATTAGCAAAATGCATCCAGCAACATATAAAAAGGGCTACATACCACGCTCTAGGAAAAACTTGGAGGATTCACTATAGTAGTCCCCCACTTACCAGTGGCTTCCCTTTCCCCCATTTCAGTCACACTCAGTCCACTGCAGTCCAAAAACATTAAATGGAAATTCCGGAAATAAACAGTTCATACATTTTAAATTGTAAGTAGCAAAAAATCCTTCAACTACTGAGGATTCCCAGCCATGGACATTGTCTGCTCCTAATATCCAACCACTGACATCATCAGGGTTCAATGGGTCAAGACCACTGAAGCAGACAATGCTCCTTCCTGAAGTATCGTCAGAGGCCAGCAGTGGCCTAACACGTCTGAATGCCTGTCACTCGCCTCGCTTCATCTCCTCCCACGGACACTGTATCAGCTCACATCATAACAAGAAGGACTTGGAAAAGCCTGATTCATCAAGTGAAATTAAACGGGGCGGGGGATTAAGAGTGACAGCTAATGGGTACAGGGTTTAATTCTGGGGTGATAAGAATGTTCTAAATCAATGAGGTATCACCTCACACCTGTCAGAATGGCTGCCATCAACAAATCATCAAACAACAAGTGTTGGCGAGGGTGTGGAGAAAAGGGGACTCTAGTACACTGCTGGTGGGAATGCAGACTGGTGCAGCCACTATGGAAAACACTATGGTGGCCCTGGCCAGTTTGGCTCAGCGGTTAGAGCGTCGGCCTGCGGTCTGGAGAGACCCGGGTTCGGTTCCCGCTAAGGGCACGTACTTCGGTTGCAGTTTGTCCCCGGCCCTGGTTGGTCGTGCGGGTGGCAGCCACTCGATGTGTCCCTTCACGTCGATGTTTCTCTCTCTCTCTCCCTTCCTCTCTCTCCCTCCCACTCTCTCTGTACAAAAAGTGGAAAAATATCCTCGGGTGAGGATAACAAAAAAAAAAGAAAACACTATGGTGTTTCCTCAAAAAATTAAAAATAGAATTGCCATTTGACCCAATGATCCCACTTCTAGGAATATACCCTAAGAAGCCTGAAACACCAATCAGAAAGAATATATGCACCCCCATGTTCATAGCAGCACTATTTACAATAGCTAAGATCTGGAAACAGCCCAAGTGTCCATCAGTAGACAAATGGATAAAAAAGTTGTGTTAAATATACACTATGGGATACTATGTAGCTGTAAGAAAGAAAGATCTCTTATCCTTTGAGACCATATGGAGGGACCTGGAAAGTATTATCCTAAGTGAAACAAGCCAAGCAGAAAAAGACAAATACCACATGATCTCACTAATTTGTGGAATATAATGATCATAACAGTCTGAGGAATAGGGTAGACCCAGAGACATGGAAGTAGGGTACAGACTGATAACCCTCAGAAGAGGGGGTGGCGGGGGGGGAGATAAACCACATAACTTATAGGCATGTACGCATAACCAATGGACATGGACAACAAAGCCGGGGACAGGGTCGGGGAGATGGGGAGGAGGGTGTCAGTGGGGTAAAAAAAGGAGAAACACCTGTAACAAAAATACAATTTTTAAAAATGTTCTAAATCGATTATGATAATGGTTGAACAACTCTTTGTGAATATACTACAAAGCACTAAATTGTACCCTTTAAATGTATGAATTGTATTAAGAATTATATCTTGCCCTGGCCAGTTTGGCTTAGCAGTTAGAGCATCAGCCTGCGGACCAGAGTCCTGGGTTCGGTTCCCGCTAAGGGCACGTACCTCGGTTGCAGTTTGTCCCCACCCCGTTGGGGTCGTGTGGGTGGCAACCACTCGATGTGCCTCTCTCACATAGATGTTTCTCTCTCTGTCTTCCCCCCTCTCTCCCTCTCACTCTATCTGAAGATAAATGCAAGAATGTCCTCTGGTGAGGACAAAAAAAAAAGAATTATATCTCAATTCTCAATAAATCTGTATTTTTAGAAGAAATACGAGCAATCACTACACCTTATAATTTGGGTGATATGGAAAATTTGGCAATAACATACATTAAGGAAATAAAAGAAACCCCTGATCAGACTTCTAGTGGAATATAAATTGGAAACCACTTTGGAAAGGGTTCAGCCTATTACACACTAAAGCTGAGAATGTACACACTCTGTGACAACAATCCTACTTCTGTAAACACATACTTATGTGAACCAGTATACATACCCAAGAATTTGAAAGCAGCATTAACTGTAATAGCCAAAAACTATTAATAACCTATATGGCCATCAATATATAGAAGAAATAAACTGTATGAATATCATACAATGAAATGTTTTAAAACAATAAAAATTAACATAACTCTTATCTAAAAATCAATGGAAAAATATCCTTGGATGAGGATTAACAAAACAAACAAAAAAAGAAAGAAAGAAAATAAAACTTACCCAACCAACATCAGCAAGCCCATATTTAAGAAAAAATAAATCACAACGGCATTATGGCAAGGTTAACTAAAGAAACAGAGGACAGATATGTGATCTCAAAAGACTGACTTGGTTTCAACAAGGAGATACAACAGAAAACACACATGAAAAACAAAGCAAGAGACAAAGAACCAAATAACACAGGCTGCACAGATGGCTGATCTAATAGGTTTAAGGTATAAGAATAAGGGGTCTGCTGAGTCTTGAAGGGCAGAGGTCATTCTAGACAGGGAGATGGCACAAAGACCATGCAAGATTGTCCTGATGGAGACAGCATTTCAGAAGTGTCTTGGGAGAGATCAAAAATAGGAAGAGGGAGGGAATTTTGAGACTAGCAAAGTCGCATAACCAGAGACCAAGGAAATAATACTTATCCCATAAGTATAATAAGGAAACACTGCTTACCACACATGACATGATAAATACCAGAGCTGAGATTTGGATAGAGAATGAGAACAAAAAAAGAAAGGGGTTAATCCCAGAAAAGCTATGGAAGAAAACTAAACAAGAGAAAGAAAATGCAGGCAATCTATAGCTCTAAAGAACACAAACAAGGGGCTAGCATAGGATACCATCCCCAATAAAAAGTAAGAGAAAGGGAGCTCAGTTTGACACATGGTCAGTTTTCGGTATGATCAGCAAATCAAGAAAATTGTCTATTATAACCTTTGTACAGAGATGAAACAGCTTTATCTTGCTCTATTCTTTAAACACATTATTCTGAGAAACAACATTATAAAACACACTAAACCCCATTCTTAACTCACAAGAAGAAACATTTATGATATGCAATAATGCCTGAAGAAAATGATCACCTTTCTTGGAAATCTTGCTTAAAAATAGTCATTAATCTAAAATGGTCATAAATTTGCCCAGCCAGTGTGACTCACTGGTTGAACATCGACCCATGCACCAAGAGGTCACTGGTTTGATTCCCGGTCAGGGCACATGCCCAGGTTTCAGGCTTGATCCCCAGCAGGGAGTGTGCAGGAGGCAGCCCACACATGTTTCTTTCTTACATCAGTGTTTCTATCTCTCCCTCTCCCTCTAAAAATCAATAAAAACCTATTTAAAAATAAATAAAACTATTATAAACTTAATTTATAAATCGTCTAATTTATGTCTGAAAAGTTTTTTGACATACCAGAAATACAAAGGATGATTGAGAATTTTACATCCACAGAAACATCTGTTATCTGGATAAAGCTCAACTGGGAAGCTGGGGGATTAGATTATTCCTTAAAATCCCTGTGTCCCACTGATTCAGTCTTATCACCACAAAAAAGCTCACTCAGATCCACTCACCAAGCTTAGACAGCTCCATCTTCTTTTTAGACCAAGTATAATATTGCAAAAGCCCTTTATAGGCCTGAATCAGGTTGATTAACACCTCCTGGGAAGACGACTTTTCACCGTATCTCCATGTCTCCGCCTGGCTGAGATTTCTGCTGGCATCGTCAAACATCCCATGATGCAGAAGATATAGTGCATGTTGTAAGGAGATCTACAACAAAAATGAGAACATGCCCCCTGTTCTATAGGTCCTTAGATAATCATTCATCAGAAAGCTAAGTAAACATAGGATGTATGCTGGGTTAAGACCTTGGTAGGATACACATGGTGTAACAGCACTGTTGCTACCATCAAAGGTTTCTCATTCTTATCTTATTTATTTATTTTTATTTTTATCCTCACCCGAGAACATTTTTCCAGTTTTTGTTCAGGTAGAGTGGGAGGGAGAGAGGGGAACAGAGAGAGAGAGAAACATCGACATGAAAGGGACACATTGAGTGGCTGCCACTTGCATGACCAACCAGGGCCGGGGACAAACTGCAACCGAGTTACGTGCCCTTAGCGGGAACCAAACCCAGTTCTCTCTGGACTGCAGGCTGACGCTCTAACCGCTGAGCCAAACCGGCCAGGGCCCATCAAAGGTTTCAATCTAGCAAAGAGGATACATGAAACAACACTATGTAAATGAGAGTAAAACTATATAAACTTACAAGGAGAGGATGATGTGATCTAGTGAAAAGAACCTGGGCTTTGAAGACAGAGTCCTGGCTCAGATGCTACTTCAAAGCTACATGAACAGAGAGTAGACTAGTGGTTGCCAAGGGCGGAGGGTGGAGGAAACAGGAAGATGTGGTCAAAGGGTACAAATTTTCAGTTATAAGATGAATAAGCTCCGGGGATCTAATGTACAGTACAGTGACTACAGTTGATAACACTGAACTGTGTACCTGAAAGTTCCTATGAGGGTAGAGTTTTAATGTTCTCACCATAACAATGACACAGTGGTATCATGTGAGATGAAGATTGTGTAACTCATTTATCATGATAACTCTTTCACAATGCATATGTATATCAAATCATCATATTGTACACATTACATTTAAACACTGTTATATGTCAATTATATCTCAATAAAGCTGGGGGAAAAACATATTCAAACTCCCAATCTGTTTAGCTCTATCCTTTCCCAAACGCACCAGAGCCTAGAGAGCTCAAATGATGAGCAAAGGATGAAAATATGGCCCCCCTACAATGAACACATGTGCCATCTCTGAAGCAATGGTTTGGGCAGCTAGAGATCTACAAAGAGGAGGTATTTTAACTCCGAGAACAAGGCAGGCGGCAGGAAATGGAGCAGTGCATGGTTCTCATAGCACTGCTTTCTTTCAGCTTCTCTTATTTATCCAGGTGCATGCCAGGTGCATCACCCTTCTGTGCATGCCTTTTGCCTGACTACCTACCTTATCACTGAGACAAGCATCTTTTTTTTTTTTTTTAATTTGTATCCTCCCCCGAGGACATTTTTCCATTTTTTGTTCAGATAGAGTGGGAGTGAGAGAGGAAGAAAGAGAGAGAAACATCAATGTTAAAGGGACACATTGAGTGGCTGCCTCCCGCATGACCCAACTAGGGCCGAGGACAACCTGCAACCGAGGTACGTGCCCTTAGCGGGAACCAAACCCGGGTCTCTCTGAACCACAGGCCAATGCTCTAACCACTGAGCTAAACCGGCCAGGGCGAGACAAGCTATCTTGTTGAAATGAACACTGCAAAGGTAAATTCACAAAGCCTACATTCTTACCGTTAAGTAATTCATGACGCCAATATTTTTCATCCTGTCAGCGAAGGCATTAAAAGTATCCACGCTGCTTTTGGGATGATAATAGAGAATTTCACTTCCGAGTTTCCAAATAATCTGTCAAAACAGAAATTACTAAAAAAAATGTAAAATTTTTGCCTTAACAGATGTCTGTCTAAGAAACCTAAGAAACCTATTTTAAGGCTATGAAACTCAATGATCATTACGAGTGAGTTCAGATAAAGAAGAGATTAAAGGACTGAGATCTGGGGCACTCCTGAGTCAAAAGGCCGAGAGGAGGAGCAGTCAGAAGAGGAGACTGGGGAGTGGCCAGTGAGGCAGGAGAGTAGTGTCCTGGAAGCGGGACGAAGATGCTATCACACAGGAGGGAATGGTCTTCTATTACCAAAAGATGAAGTTACATGAGCACTGAGGGCTGGCCTCTAGATTTAGCAACATGGAGATCACTGTTTTTTATTTTTAATTCTTTTTTATTCTTGAGGTTTGTAGCTATTTATTGCACTGAAAACACCAAGAATAAAACACACGCCCCTCCCCGGGCCCTCCCGCAGCACCGGCATCATCTGCCATTTGGTGTCTCCTCGGGAAAGAAGCTGTTTTTAATTTTTTTTCTTTATTGATTTTTAGAGAGAGAGGATGGGAGAGGGAGAGAGTGACAGGAACATCGATTGGCCGCCTCCCGCACGCCCCGCACTGGGGATTTGGCCCACAACCTGGGCATTTGCCCTGACCCGGAATCAAACCGGCGACCTCTTGGTACATGGGTCGATGCTCGGCCACTGAGCCACACTGGCGGGGCAAGATCACTGTTGACCTTGACAAAGAAATTTGGTAGAAATGGTGACATTGGTGGTCAGAGAAGTTTAACTGGAGACTGTTTGAAGAGAACAGGTATACACGCTCTTTCAAGGAATTTTGCTGATAGAGTTGAAAAATGGGGTACAGCCTTTGGAGGGAGAGGGGGTCAAGAGATGATTTTAAGACAGATAAATAACATGTCTGTATGGTGATAGGAAACATCCTATAGAGAGGGGATAATAATGACAAGGGGAAAGAAGGATGAATTACTAGAGTAAATAAATGAATACTAGAGAATCTGAGAATTCAGAGCTTACACTACTTTTAGTCTCCTTTACAATAACAGTAAGTAAGAAGCGTGTGCAAAATAAATGTCCCAATACAAATGCTCCATCTAAAACTCCTTTAATGGTTTTTAGTAAAATCAATTTGAGATCCTGCGAACGCTGTTCTGGGTAGAGCGCAAGAGGCTGCCACTCGCGGCCAGGGAACCTCTCCCAGCCGACACTTGCCGTACCTCGGGCGCAGCCTGCCTCTTGCTGCTGTCCGAGTCTTCCAAGGTCTGGACGTAACTGTGCATGTACTCTGCCGCGAGCTGCCACTCGTGCCTGAGCAGGGCCTCTTGGATATTCCTCAAACAAGCACTTGTTGTCCGAGCAAAATCCTTCTCCTTTTTCCCTCGGGTCGCTATAAAGATTAAAGAGAAGAGCCTTTTATCCAGTGACCTCAGTTCAACGGCTCAGAAACTTATTTCCAATAAAAAGTTTTAACAAGTAGAAAAATATGGGCTTTGAGACAGACATGGCTTTGACTCCTGAGACCAGTACTTAAAGAATTATCTGAGATTCAGTTTCCTCATCTTTAAAATGCCTAGTACATAGATTTCCTGAGGAGTAATTTACTGATGTAATTACATGTGATGAGATTTACATCAAAAGATAAACAAGTCCTGGATGATTTTGCTCAGTGGTTAGAGTGTCGGCCCGCGGACCGGAGTCCCAGGTTCGGACAGTCCCAGGTTCGGTTCCCACTAAGGGGACGTACCTCGGTTGCAGTTAGTCCCCAGCCCTAGCTGGGGTCGTGTGGGTGGTAACCACTTGATGTGTCTCTCTCACTTTGACGTTTCTCTCTCTCTTCCTCCTTCCTGCTTTATCTGAAGACAAATGCAAAAATGTCCTTGGGTGAGGATTAAAAAAAAAAAGATAAACAGAAGCTAAAGTCTAGGAGCCAAGGGGAAAGAAGCAGCATTTGAGATCTTGCTTCCCAGCAACTGTTGTCAGTTTGGGCTCAAATAAGTTATTATAACAGTTCTTTTCATTGTATTTATTAATTGACTTTAGAGAGAAGAAGGGAGGGGAGAGACAAACATCCATTTGTTGTTCTATCCATTTTTACATTTCATTAGTTGATTCTTGGATGTGCCCTGACCATGGAATGAATCCACAACCTTAGTGCATCAGGATGATGCTCCAACCAACTGAGCTAACCAGCCAGGGCAATAAAAGTTCTTTAAAGGTTTGGACGTTTCTTACATGAACAACAAATTCAGATGAAAGCCACCATTACATAAATGCACTATACTGTAAAGAAATGAGTAATTTTAACTTTTAAGTTAACATTTTATTTGGGGCTAATTAATTTCAAATGCCCTGTTTTCTCTTTTGGTGTTTGGGTATTTTAGGACACAGAATATTAAGAAGAAGGAACCTAGCCCAGCTGGTGTGGCTCAGTGGTTGAGCACAGACCCATGCACCAAGAAATTACCAGTTCGATTCCCGGTCAGGGCACATGCCCAGGTTGTGGGCCCAGTTCCCAGTGCGGGACATGCAGGAGGCAGCCAATCAATGTTCTCCCTCATCGATGTTTCTATCTCTCTTCATCTCCCTTCCCCCCTCTCTCTAAAACCAATAAAGAAAAAAAAAAAAGAACTTAAAGATGACCTCATAAAGCAGTGGTACTCAATCTTCCTAATGCTGTGACCCTTTAATACAGTTCCTCATGTTGTGGTGACCCCCAACCATAAAATTATCTTCGTTACTACTTCGTAACTGTAACTTTGCTACTGTTATGTCTTAGGCGACCCCTGTGAAAGGGTCCCACAGGCCCTGGCCAGTTTGGCTCAGCGGTTAGAGCGTCGGCCCGCGGTCCAGAGAGACCCGGGTTCAGTTCCTGCTAAAGTCACGTACCTCGGTTGCAGTTTGTCCCCGGCCCTGGTTGGGTCGTGTGGGTGGCAGCCACTCGATGTGGCCCTTTCGCGTAGATGTTTCTCTCTCTCTCTCTCTCTCTCTTTCTCCCTCTCTCTCCCTCCCACTCTATCTGAACAAAAAATGGAAAAGTGTCCTCGGTTGGATTTTTAAAAAAAAAGGGTCCCACAGGTTGAGAATCGCTGTTATAAAGGAAACCACAGTCGTTCCCTCGCCACCTCGCGCTTCCACTTTCGCGGCTTCACTCTATCGCCGTTTTTTCAAATATATTCATTAAAAAGTTGATCGACACAGTGAAAATGATACAGCGCGTGCTCGGTTGTCTGAATCAATTATACACCCATGTTACAATTAAAATTAAAATGACTGTACGTATGGACTGTAGGCCTATGTATTCAAGTACCCCAGGAATCCCTCAACACCAGGGGCAACCACCAGAGTCTGGATTGAATTAACCTCGATAAACGAGGGACCACTGTAATTTGCACAAGGTCAAAAGTTAGGAGGATAAGTGGGTGACTCACAGCTTTTCTCCACCCTCCACTTTCTGACCTGGGCCTGTATTAATAGATCCCAATATTGGGACTCTTACTGAATGTGTTCTCAACCTGGCACCTTCTCTTTTCCATTTAATCAAATTATTTTTCTCTGATTATATATCAAACAAGAAAAAATAAATCACCTATAACCCATCAGCCACAAAAAGGGTGGGGCATGGAAGAAGGCTAGGCTAATAAAGATGTATTTGAGGGCAATAAGGAAAGTGTTGGTTTAAATGCATTCCCAGATCTACACCATCCAACATGCCAACATACAGATAACTGCTTCGTTTACATGTTCTTATATGGAATTTATCCCACAGAAAAATTTACATTAGATAAAAATGGAAAAAAATATTATTTTTCAACATCTACTATAGATCAATTCTATTAGCAATTATTCCATGCAATTTAACAGAAACTTCTTGAATACACCTCCTAGGTATGTACTCCTCAATGGCCATTTGTACTCCTCAGAGACCATTAGCTTCTTCACCTGTAGCCCCACTATTTAACCAATGCCAGGTACATAATAAGTGCTCAGTTAAAAAAATAAATAAAAAGTGTATCTATCATAATACAGACTGTTGTTAATTCAAAGAATTCTAAAAGAAAAAAATAATCTTTTTTTATTTCTTCTTTGCTACAGCATAAGAAACCCTCATGTATTTATTTCTATTTTGAAAAGTAAACCAGCTTGGTTATTCATTTTGTATCCATATTGAATCTTATCATCTCTCTGCACTGAAATTAAATCGGCTGTATATTGTTTTACTTACCCACGCTTTCTATATGCTTTTGCAGCCAAGGAAAACGCATTCCGGAACCAGAGCGAACATTCGTTTGCCCTGGGTCATCCTCTGACATGGGCCTCAGCAAGTCGTCACTGAAATCACTCATACTTGTTTCAAACTGAGAACATCAGTTACTTTCTGTTCATCCACAGCCTTCTGAGTTAGACAGAAAAACAGACGTTTTTTATTTCGTAAATGTCATTTGATCAGCAAAATTAATTGTACCTGGTAATCCCTTTAAAATTATAAATTTAGCCAGGCTTGTGTGGCTCAATGGACTGAGCATCAGCCCATGGACTGAGAGCTCCCAGTTCGATTCCCAGTCAGAGCACATGCCCAGGTTTCAGGCTCAAGATCCCCAGTGGGTAGGTGGGGGAGAGGGGGCATGCAGGAGATAGCCGATCAATGTTCGATGTTTCTATGGCTCTCTCCCATCCTCTCTCTCTCTAAAAAAAAAAATTCAATAAAAACATATTTTAAAAATAATAAATAAGCGCTGGCTGGTTTGGCTCAGCGGTTGGAGCGTCAGCCTGCAGACCAGAGAGTCCTAGGTTCAGTTCCCGCTAGGGGCACATACCAAAAAATATATATATCTTTTTCAAGTTCTAGAGGAACAAACAGCAAAACAATGCATAATAACAAAACAATACAACAATAATAGTAATACAAGTTAACATTTACTGGGCCCTTTCTATACACTGGGCATATAAATCATCTAATTAAATCCTTACAGACATCCTGAGGTAAGTACTATCATTTTCTTTCATTTTCATGTTGAAAAAAACTGAGGGGCTTGGTGAAGAAATGGAACCTGGCCCAACGTCACAAGAAAGGTGAGGAGCCCTGGCTGGTTTGGCTCAGTGGTTGGAGTGTCGGCCTATGGACCAGAGAGTCCCTGGTTCGGTTCCCGCTAGGGGCACATACCAAAAAAATAAAATAAATAAAATTTAAAAAAATAAATAAATAAAATAAATGCCCTGGCCGGTTTGGCTCAGCGGTTGGAGCGTCGGCCTGCGGTACAGAGAGGCCCGGGTTCGGTTCCCGCTAAGGGCATGTACCTCGGTTGCAGTTTGTCCCCGGCCCTGGTTGGTCGTGCGGGTGGCAGCCACTCGATGTGTCCCTTCACATCGATGTTTCTCTCTCTCTCTCTCCCTCCCGCTCTATCTGAACAAAAAATGGAAAAATGTCCTCAGGTGAGGATAAAAAAAAAAAAAAAAAGAAAGGCGAGGACAACATTCTATGAACTAGAGTATCAAACTTGGCCTGAACAGAGTTTGAGGGTCTGTGTGAAGGAGGGTTATCGGAAAGCAGAAGTGACGGTGGGAAACAAATCTAGAAAGACAGCCACATGCCAAACTGACTTTGGACTTCATCCCCAAGATGCTCAGGGCCCTCTTCCTCACTCCCCACGCCCGGTGGCTCATTCAGTCCTGCTGACACTACCTGCTGGTACTTCAATCTTCCACCTTCACCGCAATCCTACACCATACCCTAGACCAGCAGGACTCCTTTGAAATGGGCCTAGAATACCGCATTTGCTTTCTAACTGGTGCCCCTGCCTCAAATTGAGCTTTTCCACATCACTGACAGAGTAAATCTTTTAAAATCAAGTTCCAGCCCTGGCCGGTTTGGCTCAGCGGTTAGAGAGTTGGTCCATGGACCAGAGAGACCCAGGTTCGGTTCCGCTAACGGCATGCACCTCCATTGCAGTTTGTCCCCGGCCCCAGTTAGGGTGTGCAGGTGGCACATAGATGTTCTCTCCCTCTCTTCCTCCCTCTCTCCCTCCTGCCCTATCTGAAGATAAATGCAAAAATGTCCTCCGACGAGGATTAAAAAAAATCAATAAAAACATATTTATAAAAAATAATAAAATTAAATCAAGTTCCATAGTTAGGAGCATGGGTTTTAAACACTTGAATTTGAATCCCACGCGCGTATATTTTAAGGAGTCCTTAAAGCAGCAGCTCTCCCTTCCCAATTTCTCAAACACTACAGAGGTTTCATTCATTTGCCAAGTTCTCCAAAGTTTCTCCACCCTGCTGCCTCCTTCTCAGAAGCCGAGGTGTGGAGCACCAGGAGCAAACATCAGGAGAACAAGGGTGAATCCCACCGCAGCCCTTCCGGCCCCTCTGGCTGCCGGCAAGGATTGCTGGAGGATAACCGCGGCACCAACCTGCCTATGGCCAGACCTCTTCTGTACTACCAAACGCAGTCCCCTGTATCCGGAGCGGCGAGAGCAAACACCGGAAGCGGAAGCGAAGCAAGCGAGCGCTTTGTGTGAGCATGCGCAAAATCCGCTTCGGGGCATCTCAGGAGGCACGCAGACGCAGCTCCGCCCCTGACTCCTCCTTCCACGGCACAGCCGTAGCCTTCCGCCGCTTGACCCCACCCCCACACCCGCGTTCTCCACGCCCAAGTAACCCGGAAGTGACCGCGGACTTCCGCTTTCCCATTGCTTTCAGTCCCGTTTTACGTCTTTGTCTGTCCCAGCAGGGAAAATGCGAGACTTTGATGGCAAGCGGATATAGGGGCGACGGGAGGACAAGTGGATGATGAGGTAAACAGTCAAAAAAGCTAAATGTCAGTTGACCCGAGTAATCACTTGGCTCAGGAGCGCACTGCGCGAGCCTGAGAGGTGTGGCGGCGGGTGGTCCTGAGGAAACCAATCTGCATTGCCTTTTCATCGCTTTCTTCAAGTCATTTCTCTCTCTTATTCAAATTTCGCTTTGAATTTAAGGAACTCTTAACTACCTCTCCAAAAGCTGGGCAAGAATTTTTTTTTTTTCTTCTCGGCAGTGGTGATTCTGCAGACTCAGCTGGAGTCACTGTCATGAGCAAGGTCGACCAACTTTTTATGCAATAAAACTTCTTACGCAAGTAAGACGGCGACATGTGAAGGAATGGAAAGTGGACGAGTTCTAGGGAAGACCAGCCTGGCAAGGCTGAGACCCGTGGGAACACAACGTGTATCTCCAAACTGGAAGGGTGATCTGTGAAAGAAGGTCAGACTACGATTTCAAAACATCCAAGTGAACAACTAGGTAGAGCTAAGGAGTTAAAGGGAGGCGGCTCGAAAGGCAGTACGAGAATTTTGTGAGGCTGCACAAATGATGGCATAGGCCGGCAAAGGACGCCCGACTTTTCCCTAACCCTGAAAGGGAACCATTTGAGCAGAACCGGAGTCTTGTAGAGTTGCCGGAAGGGTCTAGTAGGAGTTTGTACAGGACTTCCTTGCTACAAATACTCGATTCTGCGTGGTCGTCATAAACACCTATGAGCTTGAGCTTGCAAGAAAAATTCCTTCTGTTGTTCCTTGTGTTCTAAGTCCTTGTCCTGACTCAAGCCTGTGCTCTAACTCCACTGTCAAGGCTAACTTAAGTGATGATGAGGCCCAGGAAGGCACACAAATCAAGTAACATAAATATAGGCTTCTAGTCTCAAGGCTTGGAATGGCTACATTTTTTTCCCTTGGGTGTAATTTCACCCAGACCAAACCAGAACTAATTTAATATGGCTAGAAATTCACGATCTTGCAAAAATGGGGAAGAAATGTCTGACTTAACAACAGTCTTAGATAACTCTAGGTAACAATAGATAACAGAGAAAAAGTTATGGACCAATATCTTCATATGCCCTACCTACCCCTTCCCTTTCCAACAGTTCAATTCTGGTAGAAAATGTGTTGCGTGAAGAGAGTACAAAGAAAATGACTATACTATATCGCATCCAATGGCATAAATAAGATAAAGAAATGGCATGACAAAAACACAACACAAAAAAAAACAAAGCATGCAGAAGGTTTTCTAGACTCCTATCTAGAAGAAAACATATACAGTACTAAGGAACAGAAAGCCTTTCTTACACTTTCATTGTACCACAGAGCAACTTAATGTAATTAATTATATATTTTTTAAAGCTGCAAACTTATTTAGAGAAACTGCAAACTTAGCATATTGGGATGGTGCTCTAACCAGCTGAGCAACCCGGCCAGGGCTAAGCTATTTAAATATAATTCTTGGCTTCTTTATGTTTGTCAAGAATAGTACATGTGTGTGAGATGATTATGAGAAATACACAATAAAAGCATGACAAGCACTTAATAACAAGGAGCATAATGATGACTATAGTTTACACTTTTTACTGAGGACTTCAGATTCAACTGAAATGGCAATGAAATTCTTAAATATCCTAATAAAAATCTCAGCCTCTGACCACAAACAAAAATTGGTGGGTTTTGAAATAATCACCATCCTTTTTCCTTCCACAAAAGTTCCAAAAGAGCTAGGCCAGAATTTTTTAAATTATAAAACACAATTTTAAGCTTTTTCTTTTCTTTAAAATAAGTATATGCAAAATAATGTACAGATGTATACACATATATGGTATGGATCTGATGTTAACTTTTAATCCCTGCTTTCTTGAGCTGTGCTGTCTTTAAATGTGCCTATTCTAAACTGATTTGTGCTCTAAGTGTAAAATACACACCAGATCTCAAAAGAGTCCATATACAATAAAGAACGTAAAATTTTATATTAATTACGAGTTGAAATAGTAATATTGTGAATGCATTGGGTTAAATAAAATGTATTATTAAAATTAATTTCATCTGCTTTGTTTTGTCTTTCTAATGTAACTTGGAGAAAATTTAAATTTGTAGCTGGCATTATGCTGCTGTTGGATAGCATTGTTCTAGGGAGTCAGTGGGAAATATCAGGTTTAGATCCTTTATTAGTCATTCTCTTTGATGTCATTCGTTCATCCTCTAATGTATCCCACACCATTTTCTATCCAGTGCAGATTTAAATAGGAATGAGCTCTTACACTTGCAGGGAACCCTTCTTAATCTTTCTGTATGCAACTACTCGATATCCACACTTGAGTAGTCTTCATAATGGTATTTATGTTCCTGTTCCTAATTTTATGCTGAATGTATCAATTAAAATGTTGAGGATTCAGGAGGTTAACTTTGTCTGGATATGTGATCTGTTAACGGGTCATCTGTGCTTGTACATTATCTTCAAGAACTTATTTTCTTCCTCTCAGTTCTTAGTGTCTCCTCCAGGAGGCGCTTTTGAACTGCCAAGCATAGCTTGGGAGGATGTTACTTGACACGCTGACTTTTTATAAGAAGGGAAGTGTCCAGGGTAGGTTCTATC